AAATATTACAAAATATAACAGTTGCGGTTATCACAGAAGAAACATTCGAATCAACAGAGATTAATTTTTTATCTTAATTATTCTATTATTAATCTTGAAAAGTAAGAATTCACTAAATACACAAAACCACATGCAATTATTTCGTTATACAATACAAGAAAGATATCTAAGAATAAACATTCAAGTGGGTATAAAACACCTACGTTATGCATCCCTAGGGATGCATGAATAAATAGTGGAATAAATGATGGTCTCTGCACGTCACGAGACGATCGAATCTTTGTAGGGCAGTCATAAATATTCGAATAATTCGAATACTCGAATATTCGAATTTGATATTCGAAGTGATCGAATTTTGGATTATGGTGAATAAAAATCCGAGCATAATATACGTTTTCACACTTTATTGTAAAATTCTTTTCACATTGGTTACAATTATTCGTATCCGAATCCCTTGTGTACAATTGTAGTCAAAGTGTGTATTTGTAGTCAAAGTGTTAAAATGGCCGACTAGAACGGAGAGAGGGTAGGTGGACCTAGGTCGTGAACTTCGTTACGCTTCGGCGAGTGTTCACCAAGGCGGTGTCAATGCCTGTACAGGATATCCTCGTAGGCCTCTCGAGTGATTGTCCACGATCATCCGTTCTCTCTGTCCTTCTTGAGGAACCGAGGGTCCCGGTAGAACCGTGGCACTGCCCCCCTCTGGGCTCCCCTGGCCCCACCTTCTTCCCGTTGTAGTTGTGTCGTTCCCGGCCTAGGGTCGGAGTTCATTGTGCCACAAGTGCATTCCGAGTGCCGGCGACGCCAATTGCTCGTTACGAACGTGAGGCCAGTTGTGAATCGGTCTGTGAAAGCGGACGGTGACGTCTCCTCCTCCCTTTAGTCCGCTCCGCCGATCCCTTTCCACCCGTCTACCAGGTACCGGAGGACCTTTTTGCTCGTCCTTACCGTCCTACTCAACCAGTGATAAACATTTCGTCGATGAAAATTGTCGGGACCGTGGTGTTACAGTGAACAGAGAAATCGTCGATTCTGGAAGTGGTGTGATCGTTCGATGAAGACGAAATTCGTGGTGGAGAACATTTACTGTTACACGTTGGCAGCACTTGGATGGGAGACTCGGAACTAGAGGTAAGAGTGTTCTAGCATTTTCCAAGGGAACGTGATTTTAAATTGAATAGCAAACGACAAGCAGAAAAATTAGAATTACATACTGGTTTCTTTCGAGGACAGTTTCGTCAGTCTCTGTTTGCCACGAGGCTATCGAGTACCTTGTAGGGCTGTTACGAATATTCGAATAGTTCGAATACTCGATTATTCGAATTGCAGTGGAATTTGAATTTGATATTTGAATCATTCGAAATATTCGAATATTCGTCGTGATCGAATTTTGGATTGCACTAAATAGGAATCTGAACGTAATATATTTCTTAACAATTCAAATTATTCGAAGTATTTGAATGCTTCGAATAACTATTTCTTATTCGAATTATTCTAATGGTTCGAAAACATCCGAATACTGACAGTTGTATTCCTTTGTACTCGTTGAATTGTGTAATTGTAGGCTCTATCTGTCGGACGATGATTTCGTCGAGGAAAGTCCTTGCGTACTGAAAAAGGTTCGCTGTCTTCGACGTGTGAGAGCATTCGCAATTATTCCTGCAAATTGCTCGCGATATCTCGTGAGATTCTAATTAACGCACTAACGTGCGACTAGCGCTCCGCCCGTATTATAGGGAACTCCTAAGCGCGAACCTATTGCGCGAGCAATCATTAGTGTCGCGACGCATGATTTACTTCGTGAATTTTTGCGTGTCCTTCACCTAACCCAGGTGGGCCGTACTTAATTATCTACGATCGTGTGGAATTCTTTCGAGTCACGTATACACAAAGGCAAATTGAGGGCTCCCGTTGGGGCCTCGTAATTACAGATTCCTTGGCGAAAATTATCCAACCCATATACGGTCGACCATAACAATTATTGTTTTCCCATCGAGCACACGGAAAACCGTGAGAACAGGGGTGGATTTTCATTTAACGTACGCTTTGATTTTTCCCTCTGCTGGTGCCATTTTCCCTTATTTCTAAATTATGAGACTAATATTATATCGATATTAAACCGGCATAAATTGGTTTATTTTTATTTTTAGTATGAAAATGTAGAAATCTACTTTACTATCAGTGAGATTACGCTCCTCACTGACAAAATTTAGATACTAACTGGCAACAGAATTTGATGCACTTTTAAATGCAACACTGAGCGTTAAAGTGTTAACCCAAAGAACCATTTACAAATGGCGCACGTGGATCGTGCAGATGTTTCCGTCTCGTTGAACTTATGACGAAAGAATTTTTTTTTCACGCGATAGAATGTTTCGAATAACAACAACTTGTCCCTCCGTCCGACAGGAATTTTAATCCCGTTCATTCCCAGCGAGCGACGTGAAATCACTCTCTCGTGCCGGACAAAAAAAAAAAGTGAAGAACGCGTCAGTCCTCCGTTTGGTCGTTTCGACGAGCGATTCGCCACACGTTCGATACATTTCATCACGCGTAAGATCACGTAACGCGAAGAGGACTTCTTTGCCCCGGCCATCCGGGAGAAACGCGAAATGAAGTCATTCCGCGGCCCTCCTAACTGGTTTACGAACGGGCCGAGTGTAATTGCGCGCGGACTTTACATTCTACGGATAGCGAGATGCTGCACCGAATGGCACTCGTTTCTGCAACTTTCCATTCGCGATAAAAAGATAGGCGGGGAATTCACGTACCTCTAATGTTCATGCGCGAGTACAGGTGACCCCTCTATGACACGTTGGTTGTGTTAGGTTCATAAAAATTATTTTATTAAAATATTAATTACATTTATAACAAATTTTTATTATATTACAATATAAATTACATTTATGATAAATTTTTATTATATTACCTACAACGTAAACTACATTTATAATAAATTTTTATTATATTACCTACAATATAAATTACATTTATAATAATTTTTTATTATATTACAATAGAAATATGCCGGTGATTATGAAAGTAGTCCAACGGAAGAAAAATGACATTAAACCGTTCCAAAATGTTGAAATGTTCTTGTGAATCATTTGTATGTCATCTGATATACAGAAAAATGCAACGAAATATTTTTTTGGTAGTTGTTAAATAATTCGAGAATGAAGGAATTAATCGTGTTAGAAAGAAAGCCGTGTTACGGGAGTGCCGTGTTATACGGGTTTTGCCTGTACAGAAATTTCGATCGATTAATGTTCCGATCATTACGGTGGTGCAGTCATCGAACCGCAAGATCTCCTGAATGGGTTTATTGAGTCGTACGAAGTACCGCTCGAAGACAAGGCTGACGACGTAATCAAGGTGATCAGACGCCTCGGGACATTAAATGCGATCCAGGTTTATCAAAGATCTCGCTTCGAAAACGTTCGTTCTATGGGAACCCTCGGTGAAGATGGTATTCTATTCGGGAACAAGTGACATTCCGAATACCAGCGCAGACTCATTCACGAGACTGTATTTGACAGGATAATGTATTGCAAGGGTTGCGTAAACGTAGGGTGGGGATTTCTCACGATTCGAACAGCTGCACGGTGTGTCCCCAGAAAGTGTTTCTCGCGGTGTTTCTATCGGGTGGCCGCAAAAAAATCAACGAGAGGCGATTGAACTACGAAACCACATGTGACGGTCGAACGTTACTCGAGCCGAGAATGGAGTCGGTAGTCAGTGACACTAGAACTAGATGAAAGTGAATCGTTCGATGTGGATCGCGGGACATCAGTGCCGTAGTTAGTTCCACGGTACGTTTCCAATCTGAATTGAATCCATTTTAACAAGCCTTTAAAAAATGGACATTTAATCATAATTGTGCCGGTGATTATAAACGTGATCTATGTCGATTAAATATTCTGCAAAAATGCTTTCATATTATCGTAACGTGAATCTTTTCTTCAATTTTTTTTAGATTTTTTAGTTAGACCACTTTCATAATCACCGGTGTAATTGTATTCAGAGCTTTATAGATATTTAACGCTCAAAGGCCGTGTATTGAGCCCCAGTCATTGTTAATTAAAAAGAATTAGGAAAAGACACTTGACATCGTAATTGATGAGACCGTAGGCTTCAGATTGACGTGTCGCGAAGAAATTAATTTTCTAGAGGTTTCCCATGGAGCTTTTCCTTCGCCAAGAACGTTATTTAAAGCTAAAGGAACGTAGATTGAGCGTGTAATAATTCCTAAAACAAATTGGACAGCTTTCACTTTGAAAATTATAATCACTCCGCATCTTCTTTTCAAGTCTACGAGAATTCTTTCTTCATAAGCGTTCATCTCTGTGCAACGTCTCGTTATTTACATCGAGTCGTATGTTTATTACGTACGTCACTCGCGTATCGTCGAGTAAATCAGCCAATTGAGGCAACTTAATATTTCCTGTCGCGAAGGACGTCCTTTGAAAGGGACCGTTCGTTCCTCGTACGTCAAATATCGACGATGCAATTTCCGGTCGGAGCATCTGAACGTGTCACGCAATTATTAAAAGAAAAAGGCAAGAATAGACATTAATGTTAATTTCTTTACTGCATTAATCATCGAATTATTTTGAGCAATATATCCACACCAACAAAACTAACATAGACACCGATCTTTGATGTGGAATTATTGTAAACGAATCCTCCGGACTTTCTCGCAAAATTGACCACGGTGGACTACTTTCTCTGGAAAACTCACGCTTTTCTTCTGCAACTAGGGGGGAGGGGGGCATCGACGCCCGTAATATCGTATTGTCCGACATCTCCTATTACCGATCGTAACTAGACACTTCGCGTACACAGACACAGCCCGCAGGCCAGACGAGGTATTTTTGTTCGCTTCCGGCGAAAGAATGACACACGAGACGACGACGACGAAGGCGTCGCGTTTACTTGGTCGACGCCATCGACCTCCATGCCAGCCGTTTAGAGACACGTTAGCGTTCTAGAGTGTCCAATTGAATGGTGAACCCGACACGCCACGAGCTTGTAATCGAACCGTAAGTATCGTGCCTGGAATGCTTCGATGCTACGGAAATCATACTTAAAGATTCACCGACGATCTTTATGACTGAGCTTCAGGTGACCACCGATCCAGTTGAAATGAGCACCGAGAGGATCTGGCAACTGAGCCTGTTGCTGATCGTGTCGTCTTTCAGGGTACTTTCAGCAGATGGCGTCTGCCCGAGAATAGAAAAGTGAGTAATATCGTATGCAAAGGCCAAATTTACAGATTACTCAGGAATACAGTAAATACTTCTTGTAAGTCAAATCCAAACAATCTATCCTCTTTGCAATGTACGTGATGTTATTGGGAATTTTGCGAAAATTCTCATTAAGTTATCGTGAACAATGAAACAATGAAAAGAATGAACAGTAAATCCGCGATTAGTGTTCGAAGGCTCCTCGGCACTGGCAAGGAACGAACCTCAGGTGAAACGTTGAAATATTAATGAGATTTAATACAGCGATAGAGCTTGGAATTCTGAGGGTAATAATATTTATGAAATATTTAATGTTCATTGCCGAGGAGCCTTCGAACACTCATCGAGGATTTACTCTAGTAAGAAATTATATTCTTGAATGGAAATAATCTGTCATTCTCCTCCAACCGTCGGCATTAAGGGATCATGCGACAATATACAGCAGCATCAATGTGTCATTTTTAATTAAATAATAACGAAGTATAAAAAACTGTTAAAATCAAGATAAATATTTTAAATAACGTAATAACTTTATTTCCAAAAGTTGCATGGTACCCAAGGGGTCATACTATGTCAGTAATAATTTTTTAAGGATGTTTATGGAGATTTCAAGATACTCTATCCAAATACCAAATTTACAGCTTATATAGGAATAGTAACAAACTCTTTATATTCTCGTATTGAAATACAAATTGTTCTCAGCCTTCTCCAATTGCGATTAATTAGGCCGATTCATAGTACATGAAAATTGGGGCCAGTTTGCGAGGACAGGCATGATAAATTCGCGGAAATGTAATCTATTTCGCAAAAGCGCCTTGACAATAACCCAGACCGTTTATTACGCACCTCGACCCGGTCCTGCAGCATACCAACGCCGTCCCGATAAGGGTATCGGCGAGCAGATACAGATAGCTAATTGATCAAACGTTGCAGTTACACGGTCACCTCGATGGAAAGGTACACCCAGCCGGTTACCGTGAATGCGTTCACCTGGTGCCTGCAGATCCCGCCCAGGTGCCCGACGACGCGGACGGAGATGAGGCAACGATATCGGAAAAAGGTGAGTGGCACACAGTGCTTGAACATTAGATATTATTCGTTCGAGTTACTAGTATCTTTCGTTTTCGAAATGATCGAAATTCTATGAACGCTGCATCACAATATACCAGATATGGACACAATTTTATTCGATTAATACACAGTGGGAAGCGGCAGTATCTAAGATCGTCATCCTGATCTTTAAACAGTTCATGAGATTAAATAATTGTTTGCAATGTGTCTACTCATTCAAGAAGAAATATTATTTTATGATAAAAATTGGAATTCACCACGAAACTTTTTATCCAGATAATGAATTTGCCAATCTCGACAATATACATGCCTGTATGACGGTTTTAAAGCAGAAGTATCATTACGGACTCAGTTCCTGATCACTTAAGAGTAATTATAGCGGTTTTCTTTAACGTATAAGTAGAAAAATTAACTAAATCGAAAAGATGTGTCGCTACTGAAGGAAAGCTATGTTTTATTTTTAACTTTGTTTTAGAAAAGTGCAGAAATAATAATAATTAAATTATAATGTAACTATTAAAGTAAGAAGTGCATAGAGAGCAATTTCTGATCACCTAAATCGTATATCTGTATCTCACTCTGAGCTATCAAATTTTCCATATAAATATCAAAATAGTAAATTTACTAATTTTTTGGCAAAATATTTTTATAGTAATGAACTTATTATATGGTATCTATATACTTAGGTTCTGTTCAGGAACTAGATCCGTAACGAGTAATTAGAATATTCAGGACATAAAACAGTGTCTATTTTTATTTTTACCGTTTCACTTATAACTGAAGATATCTACGACTCAGTCCGAATCTGCTGAATCGTTCGCGATCTGACCCAATTATGTGAGTACCGAAATCCTCTTAATGACCAGTTCTATAGTTACAACTAGTTTCTTTTACCCTACATTCGGTAGTTTTAAACGGCCCGGTAGCAGAGCGCTCTCGGCCTGGTAATTAACCTTCAACTCCAAGGAAAGTTTTTTTTTCCCCGAAGCTTTTCAATCCCTGAACCCGTTCCACCGCAAAGGGGCTGGTTCTACCGGCTGAAAGGAAGCCGATAGAACGGTATCCACGTGCATCGAACGTTACCTCGAATGCGCGTAGGTACCTATACGAGGGATTTTAATTAAACACACCGTTTACGCTGGCTTTCACTAATTAATTCAATTGATATCGCGGTGGCCGCGACAGCGACTCTGTTACATCACGAATAACATGCGCCATTCGTGAAATCACCGCACAATTAACCTGGAAGCTACACAAGTATCTGTGAACCCTCCGCCCACGGATCTACCGTTTCAAAAAATGATTAATTAGTTTCGTAGCTCAAGAAAGAAATTATCAACGACGAAAATTCTTACCTTCATAGATATTTCCACGTTTGCAGTGAATTTTGTTAATGAAAAACGACATTACTTTCCATTATCGTTAATGAAAAAAAATTTTCTAGGGCCATATTAACTTCTATATCATTCTAATAGAATGCTCAAATTATTGAATGAACTATTCATCCCCCTCCCACGGAAATTCAACCGTTCTTCCCATCAGACAAAAGGGAACCGAGGCATTTGCAATAAATCCACTGACGACTGTGTGTAACGTTCCCCCCATATGCAATAAAACAGGCAACTCTTCCGGTTCTGGCTCTTCTCCGTCCCTTCGCGAGCCATCCCAGTCCTTGTTGCGCGCGGTCGATACGAGGGTACCGAGTTAATTGCAAGGAAAGCGAGGGTATCTCGGTGCGTCTCATTAAACGACGGGAACAAAAAGGACGAGGACGTCGTTAAGCTGTGAAGCACGGAATGCTCGAAAAATCCTGCGACAATTTCGTTGCTCCAAGAACCTGACGCGTTCGCTAGAAACGGATCACCGGAAATGTGTTAACGAGACCATAAACCAGAGCAGAGTCAGATTTTCGCAGAGATCGTAAGAAAATATTTCACTGGATTTATTTCCACAGTATATTATTTTTAGGTAATTAATTTTCACGGTAGAAGAATTGTCATTGCATGAGGTGTGATATTAATTCAACGTCGATTATCACTTAACTAGATTTTATTTAATTACTTCCTGTTCGATCGTTGGAAACGACACTTATTAAGCGACAGCAACACCTTCGTGAATGACTGGGCTCACAAATTTGTTTCGTTTGGAAATTTTCGAGTGAAATTAATATCGCAGTATCACTTAAAAGAAACCCAACAGCGCTCTATTAACTAAACGCATATATTTCATACGATTTATCGACATAAAAAAACGGAGTAAAACGTGTCTGACTACGTACGGCCTTTTCCACTGTGGCAGTCAAGGTGCTAAAAGAGAGTTCCTTCGCTTTCATCGGAAAAATCAATCACCGCACTAAAGAACGTCCTAACGATTCTTTTCCAAGAACGTGGAAACGATATGATTTTCCTCTTTATTCACCGGGAAAGTGGGCGCCTAATGGAATAATTAGCGTTAACGGTCACCGATCTTGAAATTAAGAAAGTTAAACGGCCAGCAACCGGAACGATTTAATACGTTATATCACGGGACCTGATGCATAGAAAAAAAAAACCAAGATCCGAGGGTGATTGTCCATGAGTTTTTCTCGCGGAAAACCGTACCCCAGTCAACCCTATGATTAATTTATACGATACGCCTGAATACCGTTCGATTAATTACCGTTCCAACGGGATCGATCGAATTGAATCGCGATATTCCGTTCGTGTGTATCCGTGTTTATCGAACGATCGATCGGGCTACCGACGATTTCGGTGGACGGCTATATAATGGCTCGATCGATCCGGAGCGCACGCGTGGCGATCTTACGTAATCCGCGGAATCCGCGTCGACGCGGAGCCAGGGAATTACCGCCGGAAGAAAGTGAGCACGGTGTTCGATGCAAATAAGCTTGGAACTGGGTTAGACACAGCACGGCTCTGAGTTAACCGTTGATCTATGGAAACGCTTTTGTGCGCGCTGCGGTGTAAACGCGAAACGATTTCGCGGATGGTAATGAAACGGGTTGGGAATAATAATTCTCGGTAGCAAAATCTCGGTCTTGCCGACGAGTAAGGGGATTGTTATTGTAAACGGTAGAATGGTACGTTATATAATAAGAGGATTTTTATTGTAAACGGTAGTTATTCTTGTTTAGGTTGTATGAATTAGATTGGGACTCGACGATAAATAGGAAGGATCTTGAAACGTTTAAATCTCGAAACTCAGGGAAATGTTGAATTTCGAGAAGTTTCGAAACTTTGCACTTTTTTCGTGGTTTGAGATTCTCGAGAACCAGGTAAGAAGAAATGTGAAATAGATGAATAAATCCCGAATAGTCGGTTCTAGATAATTCGTTAGTGCTCGGTTTTTGTATTCTGGGGTATAAAATATAAGCAGATTGACGATCGATCGTGATCGTAGACGTGCAGGTCAAGAGCATGGGATTCGTGAGAGCTTGTCTTATTTTTCAAATCTTACTTTTCAATTACTATTTAATAGTATTACTTAGTGGTAGTAAAAAGTAGGAACTGCTAAACTATGTAGTGCATATATTTTTTAATTAATTAACAATGGTCAATAAAGATTAAAATTTTTAAATAAAATCAGCGCTTCGAGTTTCGACCTAATAAATAGGGTACCTTAATTGGTCAGTCGGTCGACAAGCGTAATGTTCCCGCGTTACTAAATACCCGTAACTTTCTCTTCGGAAAATTGAAAGACACCACCGGGGCTAAATTGCAATCTTGCAATGGTCGCTAACGAGTGCCAGGCGGCTCTATCGAATTTCGCACGTGTTTATAATACACGGGCCGGCTGATGATCGAGATAACAAATTGCCGGAAGTGAAAAGAGGTCTCGCTTAAACACAACCGTTTCGCAATACACTTGTTACATTAACGCAACGGTGGCCGGGTGTGGAATGGAAAATCGCGGGAAGAGAAGGCTGTGCACGCGTCAGCCAACTTGCGTGGAACAGAATCCTCGGTGGTTTTTTATTAAATATACGCATTCCATATCGATGGTCCTCGTCGTACGCCTTGTCGAATTAAAATTTCGAGTAAACCTTTCGCCGTCAGCATTGTCATAAATTCACCAACCGTAGATTACTCGACTCCAACTTAGGATGAGCCCTTAACGCGTAGAGAACGGAAAGCCTATTTTTAGGCTGCGATAGGTCGCCTATTTTCCGTAGTATAACACTATGACAAATAAGGTTCTAACTCGAAAATTACAACATTAACTTGAAACTGCAAATATTCGAAGCAGCAGGAAGGACAATCCTCAGCGTAATAGCAGCGCCCTGGTAACATAACCTAACCTATAAACACTTGGTAACCGGCGGCTAGGGTACACCCACGAGGAAACTCTGCTTCCGCTATGGGAAAAAGTGGCGTAAGAAAAGAGCTTCCTACCATTTCAGTACCTGAAATAAATATTAAACCGAATGTTAATTTGGCATAAATTTCAGTAATTACCAAAACTAAATAGTAGGAGGCCCTTCGCCTACTTTACTTTTTTCCCTAGGAGAAGCCAAGTTTGCTCGTCGGTGTACGGAACGACCAACGGCGCTTTACGCTGACAATGAGATCGCGCTTATTCCTATGAGAAAGAGACGAAGCCTCTTTCCTGGCATCGAACTATCGTGGCGTACATATGTGTGTATCGTTCCTTGTTGCCTAAGTCTCCCACGGCAACGGTGCGGAGCGAGGAGGGTTGATATTTATTGCGTAGGAACATCGCGCCCCGTTTCGCCCCGTATCACGCTAGCGGAAGGAACACGAGGTTATGTAACCGTTCGCCAGGGAAAAGGACTTTCGAACGGGCGATTCGCGGGAATTTTCCTCGGCAACGTAAAATTTGTTTGGTCACTGGAGCCGTTACGTCGTCGCAATTCCGTTCGACACCGAGGAAGATCCACGGAGTATGGATAAATTTGCCTAAAATATCGATATTCATGAACCGATACATCGATAGTTACATGTATCGGAATTATATCGGACATCCGTAGTATCGATCACTGCTGGTAACCGCTGGCTCCTTCAAAACACTTTTCCTTAGGTTAAACCTAAGTTCCACTTAGCTCCTGGGGGCCCATTGGGTTGCGCACGAAGAGGATGCAACTGATGGCGTAATAACAGCCTGGACGTGGATCGACGTTGGATGATTGTGCGGCATTGTAAGCAGGGGGAAGGAAGAGGTGGATGATTATCGGATGCCTAGAGAAGTCGAGGAACGCCAGGGACAACGCAACGTTGACGCCTACTGTCGTGAAACACTGAGGAGAATTTGCAACAACGGGCTATCTGGTAGCTGGAAATTTGGTAGAGTTAATGGTTGTAATAAAGAAATATTATATCGAGCGTTTAGGTCAATCTTCTGGTAACTCGTAGCTACCAGGAGTGGCGATCCTTGAGGGAGCTATCGGTTACCTCTGCTTAAATACAAAATGGCCCCGTCGAGACTATCATAAATATAGTGCAGAATCCACGGTGCTAATTCCAGAGAGAATTTATTGGGCACGGTATCGATCGCTAAATAGAACAGACAAGGGATTTTTAAAGGAGTTCTTACAGAGAGGATCAGTTCTTAAAAGATTCGTGCGACAATCATGGTCTTCATAGTTGTTGAATATGTTAAGAGAGTTTATTTATCAAAAGGAAGGAAAATTGGGTTTTATTATAAATAACAATATTATAGTCAGAATTCTTATATAAGTGTAACTGTGACAAAGGTAAAAAAGTTGGCAACGAATTGAAATATATTACTATACAGTTTCAAAATGTCAAAATAATCTTGCGAATCATTTACGAGTCTTTCGATATATACAAGGATACAACAAAATATTTCTTTGGTAACTTTGAAATAATTTTAGAATAAAAGGGTTAAGAGATTCCTGTGACAAGATCTGTTCCATAGTAGCAGACTTTGCTACCTGCTTCCTAGTTGTTATTACAGTCCTAATATTCTCCAGATCGAAATGATCGTCACCCAGTCGCTCTATTCCCTCTTTCTGTGTCGTTTATAGCTTCAATGGTGACAATAAAAATTGAATCAACAGTACAACCAAGGAATTAATAAGACAAACGAGGGCGAACCTTGAACACCATTACGAGAACGCAGTAGAATTACGATTGCTCCGAGGCGCGTGGGGACGAGTGTGTTCTATACGTGGAAATACGCGGCAAGAAATGCAGGAATTTCTCGAAAGTACCACCAGGATGCCCTAGAATATGGAACCGCCACCGTGGTCGGGTGTGAAAAACAGGGCGTTCGAGGAGATGTGGGAGAAGGGTTCGCGGGAAACACAAGAGATACGAACCCGGAATAACGCGGCGGACACGGCAGCTGCCATTCGACAGATCTCGAGGTCGTTCGATGTTTTCTACGATAGAAAACCACCGGAATTTCACAACATTTAGGCGGTTACGTATTTACGGGCGTCAGGCACTCGTAGACAACGATAGACTTTTACGAGTCCATAGAAAATATATCGTTAACAGACTGTTATTCCGATCGACCACCGAAAGAAGAAACAGGTGTTGCGTAAAAGTGATCGTTTCTGCCGGTTATCCGTTTCACGATAGGACCATAAATATCATCCTGATCACCGCTCTGTCGTTAATAATTACGTCGATCCGTGTCCTAAGTGATTCTTCGTGTCGATTGAGCCCTGGCCACCGTTTCGACATCCACGGAATAATTACCAAATCGATTGAATTATGATTTAGTACTGCTCGTGGAGAGTGAATTCTAGACATAGTTTCATTCTAGACGGTTGAACATTGATGATAAGATTGATCTTCTAGATCGTACGTCTTCTGAAGTTTGCCCTCGCACGGAAACAAACGAATTCCGAAGAAAAATACCCGAATCCCCTCCCCAAAATTAAACGACGAGTTTCTCCGAATAAATTGGTAGCGTTAACACACGACGAATTCAAGAGGGGAGGGGAACCAACTGGCTGCATGTAAAGACACGAGTACGGAGAAAATGGAACACGCGATGGCCAGAGACATGTACATAGAACTTTCGAGAAAGACGGAAATCACGGAACCGTGGATTACGTCGAACCGAATATACGAGTGATCGACGAGGGGGAATATTTCGCGGTTGAGGAGGGGGATAAATTAAATGGGCATCAGCTCGGGTATCGTTACGTCGGAATGCGTGGCTCGAGGAACTGATGATGTCGAAACGCTCGTCGGTATGACATCGTTAATTGACACATTGCCACTATGGCCCAGAAACGAAAATTCGGCGATAAAAATGGTAACTTCTTTCTAATTCTTGGAAATGGTACAGTGTGGTATTAACTGAAATTTTTAGCAAACAGTCAATGATTTTACGAGGAAACGAATTAAAAAATTTATGAAAATACCTTTGATGAAAAAAAGTAGCATTTTTAGAATTTAGAATTTTGTGATTAAATTCAATGAACAATATGCTATTTACAACCCATTCACAGAACCATAATTATCTCGAAAAAAACTTCCGACTTTTGTAGAGGAATTTTCATTTCTGGCCCAAAATGCATCGATGCGGGCCCATTGTCCACTCGTTTCTTCGAATTGTGTTCTTTCTCCTAGCGGCCGGTGAAAGGAACAATTTAGAGAACGATGAAGGATATATTAATGATTTATAGAGCGTAGAGAAATCCGAGACTCTCTCGATTCCCTGTTCACCGAGGGCCACCACGATCCGGATCGTGTCCACGGTTCTTTTCATGCGATTCCGAACGAGCACGCGGCTCCTTTCCGCTCCCACATCGGGGCCCCAGACCGATTCCCAGTCGCGTTCCCTTCGAAACGTTTACTCGAATGGTGCGGCGGTGGGCTGATGTGATTAATTCCACGAGCGATTTACTTGCATAACGAGTTCCTCCTTCGTCCCCTCCAGAGGGATATATTAATTGCAACATTATGCTGAAACGCGCATACAGGGACGTGTGTATACGGTGATCGACTTTATCGTCGACGATCATCTGGAAACCGCCCGATAACGTCAGCGGTAGTGAAGCGGAAGAATTTCTTTCTCATAAGCGAGAAAAACTCTGTAACGATGGACACTGTCGTTGATAATCTTTGTCAAGGGAACAAACGTATGATTTCCTTCTCAGGCATCGAAGAAGCCACTAATGATGCAAATTAGGACAGTCTTTAACCATGGGCGTAACCAGGATGTCAATTCGGGGGGGGCAATGTAATTTTTTTTCTTCGAAAAGGGGGGGAATCTAATTTTCTTTTCTTCTGGGGGAGGCAAATCCAATTTTTGTTCGTCTAGAGTAGGACAAAAGACACTTTTCTTCCGTCCAGGGAGGAGCAAAGCCCCCCTGCCCCATGTCTTTAACACTGACGTACCAAACCCTTCAAAAAAACAGGAATTAGACGGGGGACATCAGCTGTGGTTGCTGATCAGACAGACGCCCAAGTTTCTGGGATAATTGTTAAACATTTGTTTGTTTATTTCTTTACTTAAAGAACAGATTTTTAACAATTTTATCACGCAATGCCATAGAACACGCACATCCATTAAATTTTCATCGCAACAGTTCTTTTGTGTCTATTATAATTTTCAAGATGTACAGGAAAATAGGAAAAGACACCCTGAAGAATTTGATATCAAGATCCCAATCTACAAATCAGCGATGTTAACAAAAAATTGGAATTTTCAGGGTACCAAAATTCCCCTATTAATTCAAGGCTCCAATTTACCGTATCATCGCGTTGGAACCAAGAAATGGCCATTTCCATCAAGATTGTCAATTTTCGTAATTCCTCGATGGATTTCTGTCGACTTTATAAGACCAACAATTCCAATATCTGTATATCAAAACCTCGATACCTAGAATTCACAATGAGACTAAGAACGTAATCGAAGATTAAAGGGGGAAAAAATGACACAATCCGTTACGGATAGAACAGAATTCAAGCAGCGAGCAGGAAGAAGTAGAACGGTAGAAGGAAGGAGGCCTACACGTGGTTTAACGGAGTTCTGTTTTCTCGCGCGTATCCACTTACGACGGATTACGAATGGAACCGTTACACGTGCCGCCATTCGCTTTCGTTTGCGAGCACGCTCCCGTTGCTTATTGACGATCGAGATCGGTCGTTGGAAGTGGGATCCTTTCCAAACGGGGCCGAACGGACAGGCTGCCAAAACGTGGCCCCTCGATGGTCCACACGGCCTACTTTTTGTTCCCCTAATCATTTCCTTAACTACCGTGAGCAGTTTTGGAAGCTTGGAACGTCCGGTGGTTTATTGAATCGGAGCCTAAATGGCCGCATTTTGGATTAAACGCACGATTTGCTGCGATATGGAGTGGATCGTGGGGCATGCTGATGGAGGAAAACGTACATATTTACGAGAACTTACCGTGACATTGTTTGGAACAGCCTTCAGGTGGCTCTGAATGAAGTTTATTAAAATGATCGGAGCTTATGATTGATCGATGCATACTATATGTATATTAATAGAATGTTTAAGGTTTGTTTCATTGGGTTCGATGAATATTAATATTTCCACAAGAATATTAGTATTTCGTTTTGGAATAGTAGGTCAATTTTTGCAACATTATGATTTCCGATTTGTCGTTCAATTTGAGTTACCCTTCGTTGTGATATGCACACTTTCATCTATTACTTCATAATCCGGTAAACACACCGAGGACACTTTAAAACTTCAAGTTAAACCCTCGTGAAGACTCAACGAAGGACATACAGGATTTCCATCCCTCGATACTCCAAAGTCACAATCTCTCTATTCTCGACCCTCACCCTCAGAATCTTCTAAAGGGTATATTTCCCTCATTTACAGACAGAGTCAAAGACGAGGAGCGTTAACGAGTGCTGCGAGGGCTACCAAACGGTCCCATCCAACGACGAGGAAATCGGCATCAAGTGTGTACCATTCTGTGAAAACTGTCTCTCTGGTATTTGCGTTTCTCCAAACGTGTGCGAGTGCAGCCCCGGCTACGAAGGAAATGACTGTGCGACTGGTGAGACATTATTAACTTTCAGATAACAATAACTAGGTACTATTACATTCTCTTACTTTTCTGGAGGATCGTTACTCTCATCAATGTCCAAAATATCAGTCTTCTTATACATTTAGCAGCCTGTAAATTTAATAATAATTATTATTTATTTAGGGGTCTACACCCTTTGGTAACAAAATACATAGAGCAATTGGGATGCATAGTTAATAGCTTGTAACGATACATTCATGTTACACCATTTTTTGAACGTATCAGTGAATACAGATGCTTTTTTGGGAATCTTCGATCAATACAATTATGGTTTTTATGGACCAGATCATTATACCTGAAAGATACTATTATTCATGAGAAGAAATACGGATATCGAGAGCATTACATTTAATTAATCATTACTAATAAATCAACATCTGGAAATATCTGTTTCAAAGATTTTTTGAATTGATTTATTATTAAGGAAATAATCGTATGCTTTGCAAATTTTTGACAATTTCTTTACGACGAGTAAATGCTTAAATGAGTAGAAATTGGAACATTTGCCTTAAGGGTTTCTTTCACGGATCATTAAGAGGATCCCTAGATCTTCCACGTTCTATTCTATCCTTATCATCCGACAATCGACAGATCACACCGATCGATCGGTTTCGTTTCCGGCGCGAAACAGCCACACGGATCTCGGAGCGTACGAAAACGATACGCCAGACCGGATATATTTCACGCTCGATGAAACAGATCGACCTTCCACGATCGCCAGAACGCGCGTGCTGCCGTTGAATAATTTTCACGCGAACACCCGTAACGATTCTGAAATCGTCGACACCGACGATCACCGGTTACCAACTCTCTTTCTCTCTCCACCTATCTTCGTCGAAATATACCATCTCGCCAAGAAGCTTCCGTGATAATACTTGCACGGACATTCTCTCCGTACACTCGATGTTCTCCCTCTATTTGCAGTGTGTACACGGGGCACGTGGGGCTCGCAGTGCAAAGAGAAATGCGACTGCGTCGAGGACGTAGCCTGCGATCCCGTAAACGGACACTGTCTATGCCCGCCAGGATCACGCGGACGAAGGTAATATTACATCTCTACAATGTATACATTAAGATTAATTTAATTATACAATAAGAGAGAGAATTATTTATGAAAAATTCAACATATACATATTATTGTATGTTATTTCCTTAGTAATTTCTGGAAAATTGAACTGTGTTCATGCCAACAGAAGAAAATGACTGGCATTTAATTATAACCCGTTTCATCGAAACACCATCCGCGGCACCAGATATGTATAGGGTGCGATATTTAAGTTTACACGTGGAAATGTCATAAAAACACAGCATTTCATGAAAAAAGTATTTTAGACATAAGTTGTTTGGTTTGAAGGGGGAAAGAGAATGACATTTATTTTTAATCTGGTGAACGTTTTGAAGGTCAACTTCGGTTTTTTAAACGAATCCAGGCAAAAACAAACAATTTCGGTCTGAAACGTTTTTCATTTTTTTTCTAAATTTTGTTAACCGTTTAAAAAAATGATCCATTTAAAAAAATAACCGTCGTAATATTGCTCAATAACAGCCAATCGGTTGAGTAATTTCTCGACACACCATTGCCAATTATTGCTGCCCGTTAATCAGAGACAAATCCATAAAATCCGTGCTGACGACCCCGAGCAAGGAATTATGCAACAGAAAGATTCTAGCTTTCGCGCTATTAATAGAAAAAAAAAAAACAGGAAAACGATTGCTCCTGTCCCAATTATCCGCGACAACTTTCATCGACTTCGACACGCATCAAGGCTTGTTTGTCGAACCGAATTACATAAATAAACGATCGCGACCGGTTGATTGAACGAGCATGCCTAATAAGCGATCACGATGATCGAATCACCTCGTGTGTTTCGCTCGCGTGCGGAATACGTAATTACTGTTTTTACGCCAGATGCAATGAGTCGTGTCCGGAGGATCGATGGGGACCGGAATGCGTGTTTCCGTGCGATTGCGGCGATACCGCGGGCAAGTGCGACCCTGAATCCGGCCGATGCGTCGTGAACGAAACGGTGAACGCGCGTCAAGAGATCAACCAGGCTATGAACGTCGCGATAACCGAGGAGGATGAACGATCGTCGACGATTCTTGGGACGACAGAGGCGACGCTGGAAGGTAATGAAACGAACGGGATCCATTCGTTGAAACGAGATATTTATTCGAGTGATGCAACTGTTGATCGAAAGTCGCGTTCCTAAATACATAATACGTCGATCGATGGCAAACATTCGGTTCGAAACCGCGGGAAACGAACAGGAAACGTTTGGGAAACGGAACGTCGAAAGTCGAAAGTTTATGGTAATAATAATATTCATTTATGGACCCCAGAGACAGAGTGTATTAAGCCACACTTTTTAAACAATGAGAAATAATTTAAAATCGACTATCGAATCGACTGAAGACAAGTCTCGATATGTAGAAATCATTTTTACATTATTATATTGAAAACTAAACGACTCAGAACGAAATAATGTTTACCAAACAATATTGAAACATATGGAAGTCTAGAGGATAAACGAAAAGTTTAGGTATACAATAATGCGTAAAGATATATACCAAAGTTTACAAAAATTTATTAATGCAATGATCACAATGGAAAATCGTTTGTCTTCTTGGTGGTAATCCTTTATTCCCCTGGAAGAATCACTCAGGGGCGAATTGTAAAAGATTATTTTGTTTTGTTAGTTGATTTCCTTTTTTTAATTTAGTTAGTCATGAGGCTCCCGCCACGTCGGATAATCCTTCGGAAACAGCGAGCCCGGGAACCACCGTTGCGTCGATCCCGGATCAACCGAAAACTAGGGCACAGTCTCGCGAATACGGGAACTCGAGCACCGTCAGGCCAGTGATCGTCTTAGTTTCCGTGCCGGAGAGAAGGAGGAACTTGGAGAACGATCGTGGAAAATTCCCGATGAAAAATCCGTTCCTCAGGCACGTCGACGATCTTCACGGGCTTTCCTCGCCGAAAACGGATTACGTGAAAAACATTCACAAAGGTTCGATAAACGGTCGACATATTTATTTCGCCGTTTTCTATCACGTTTGCTTAACAAGGCGTTAATAGAAATGTGTGGGACACATTCAGAGGGTGAATTCTATACAGCGAACTAAGAGAAAAATTAAGAGTAACGAAATTGTTTTCAAGAATTCGTTTCGAAGTTATTAATTATTAAAAACATGGGTGAAATACACTAACGGTTAAAAGTATGGGACCAGAGTTCACGAGTGATAGAAAAGTAACTCGTGATTCTGTTTTAGTTTACCATGTAGAATCCCCACCCTGTGAAAGTGTCCCACATTTTTATTAATACCTTGGAACTTGATCGTAACACACGAAATGTCCGATTGAACGCTTTAGATTCTCTCATTTTAATTATATCAAAAATAGTAGTGCAATGAGAATATGAAAACTGTCGAAAGAAAAAAACTCCGAAAGTGTGTTCCTCGAGAACTGAAGAAAACGAACATTTCATACACTACTATCTAAAAGAAAGGAGTGATAGAAAGAAGGCAGGATAAAAAAATAATTCATAAACTTGATATTAATCAGACGAGGTACATCAATTTCCAATTCCCCTGGACATCGCTCTGATCGTGATCGCCTCGATCGTATCCCTCGGTCTGACATCCGTCACGGTCGTGTTGGTTCTCCACATGCGATCGAAGCTCTTCGAGACCGCCAGACTGTCGATCTACGAGTTGGAGAAGATGAAGAGTCAGGAGAACACCGGCACAGTCGACAGAAGGATCTCCTCCATAGTAACCAGCGCCCTTCCACGTGAGTACCGACTTCTTGCCGCTTTTCCGTTTCTCGGGGAAATCGATCTACCCTTGACCTCTCCGTTAAGTCCGCGTAATCCTATCTCGGCGGCCATCTTGAACCGTCCCGGGTACGTGGATTACTCGCGATGGATTAGATCGTTCTGGTGGGAGGCGTTTTCCCTTCTCGCCCCGAGGACCATCGTGTTTCCACAGACCGATTCCTCTCTCGAATCTCATTTCGAACGTCTCACACAGAATTTATTTAATTTGTACCGAGGGTTCGTGATTTTTCAGAAGATCCTTCACGTTTGATATTACAGAAACTCCAGTTCGAATGAGTACATCCTTTTTCGCGTCCACTCCGGAAACTGGAACCATGCTGACGATTCCCAACATCGATCCATCGAGCAACTACGCGAACGGAGCCGCCACGATCGGTCTTCGTATATCCGGCAGTTTACGTGGTAAGCAGCTTCGCTTAACCTTCCTGGATTCACGTGACTTTTTAATGCACAGTGACTCGCGTCTGTCTCACACGAATTTTTAAATGATTGAAATGTGGTACTTATTAGGGTTAGTACAGAGTATTGTAATATTTAAAAATCATTCGAATATTCGTAACAGCCCTAACAAGTACCACATTTCAATCATTTAAAAATCGGTGTGAGGGACAGAGGCGAGTAACTGTGTACTGAAAAGTCACGCGAGTCGAGGAAAGTTAATCGCTGACTCTGTACAAATTTATCGAAACTTCGTGAACTATAGAAGCAAAGTGTCTTAAAATACACCGACTCCAGAGTGAACGCACTAAACGGAATATCGGTCGATACATCAAAGAGACGTTCACCGCGAACTCCATGATTCCAGATTTCCTGCAAGAGGATCATTACGATCGTCCACCGGCGACCAGGATCCACCTGCAAACCAACTTCGACGCGAACACGGAACACGTTTACGATGAGATACCGCTGCAATCGAGTCCTCTGTGCTTCCGCAAGAACGCGTGATCGGGACACCGTACTCTGAATCCCTTAGAACGACTGATCGCGATCGAGACCTAGGTGTAGCCGTGGTAGACATATATCCGTAATCGGAGAGCAAGGAATTCCGTCGGTCAAGCATCGATCAATCTCTCCAAACGCAAGCCTGATTCGTTTCCATCCGATCGGCGCCGATTCCACGGAAGAGGGCCTAGAACTGTCACGTCTGGAGGTAGAGCGTTCGCGTGGCATTGTTCCGAGTCACTCGATCTCACCGTGCGATACCGGAGGCGGATGTGAGAGAGCCTGGCTCGTCTACGGGCCGGGGAAAAATCCAACCGGACTGGTTCTCGACCTTACACGGCCCTCGTCTAGTGTGCAAGGCTGAACGTGACTGCGATTCGGTCCTTCTGCTGCGTGTCCACTCGAGACGTAACCTCGACATCACGAGAAATCAATTTCTCTCGATGTATTTTGTATGAAGTACAGAAAAAAATTACCACAAGTTATAAGAACTGTTTGAGAACATGCTGTCGTGGAGTTGCTCTCAAGCTTCTATCCAATGGTGTGCAGTTCTGTCAGGTGAGAAAATTCTCACGAGTGGACACGTAGCATAACGAACTGGTACGGTAGAAAAACAACGTCTGATTAGATTATCCAACAAGGCCTGTGGCAAGACAACTTTTCCTCGTGGCCCAAGTTGACGTCAACATCGAGCCTCCGGGTGCGCATTCACGTCAGATCTGGACACACGCGAGCTTCGATCCTGCAACATCGTGTTCCTCTCGTTACAATGCCGGTATTCGAACGATGCACCCCAAACAATCTGGGATGATCTATGAGTACGAGCACGGTGTTTAATATTGTTTCTAAGCCGTCAGTGATAAGAATAACGTGAACTGGAGACCTTTGGCTGCCAATATGGCGGATGTAAAGGGATTTCGTTGCCTGTATCATCAGTACTTATAGGTTACCGTACGTTCTTGTTGATTATATTTTTCATTTAGCTACTCGTTCGTGAGTTGGATAACGGTCGATCACAGTGAACGAAAGCCCTCGAGGCACACCGAGAGCAATTTCAGTGAACTATTTTAACCATTTCTCTATATTTAAACCCGATAATGATACGAGTCTTAAATTATCCGTGGAAACGATGAAACTTCGAGCAGAAGTTATCCTAGAGGTCGTGTCACGAACCAAATGAATGGGCGGACCGAGATATCGGAGGCCTAGAAAAGTAGAACGCGTGGCTGGTAAATTGGGCTGCTCGGTGGTTCCGAGATTACGCGGAACCCGAAGTCAACGATCCTCCGTATGTGGACGAAGATCGAGGAGGGTGATAACAGTCTACCTTGGAAGCTATTTTACAATCAGTCATACTTAAACGTGCCAATACAATGAGACTTATGCCTCGTTTTTCCACTATAATGGATTAAAATACGTCGAAAAGTGTTCAGTGTATACCAAAAGGGAGTACTACCAAAGATGTTAACGATACCAAAGAGAAAAGGCAGCAACCTCGTGCCCCAAAGAGATTCAGCATCGAGTTTTTTTTCTCCTTCGTTTCTTGTGTGATGTGTCCCTTGTACCAGGGAGATTTGACGATTACAATGGTGTTACCTGTTGAATCTAAGATAAGAAAACATGAAAATTAGTGAAGAATCAAAATTTCAAAGAAAAACCAATAAGGAATGCAAATGAAATTGCGACAGGGAAGCAGTCTGTGAAGAAACTGAATGACGCGATGCAGTAGGTGCAGAATGATAAACATGTGGTCATGCGTTATAGTCAGCCTGATGCGCGAAATAGAAAATCTGATGTGCTATTTACAAAGACTGAGTTTTAAATAAGCTTCCTCGTGCAGTTTGGAGGTAGGAAAACGAATCGGTCTCCCAGTGATGATTTCCAATATACGATTCTGAGTCCTTCAAACTCTTTTAAGAATATAAGTGGGGGTATTCCCCCAAACATGAACTCCATACAATAATATTATTCTGAGACACACCTTATATAGGACGAAGTTGAGCAAAATGTAATCAAATTACATTAATTTATAATTTTTATTGTAAATTCAGTTAGTGTACCCTCACGAGGAAATTCTGCTTCCACTAGGGGAAAAAGCAATGTAGGAATTAGGGCCTCCAACTGCTTGATAAATTTATTTCAACTACTGAAATAAATGTTAAACCGAATGTTAATTTCGCATAATTTTCAATAACTCCGAGACCAAGTGGCAGGAGGTATTTCCCTTGCATTACTTTTTCCCCTAGCGGAAGCCGAATTTACTCGTCAGTGTGCAAACATTAGGGCCTCCAATTGTTTGATAAATTTATTTCAACTACTGAAATAAATGTTAAACCGAACGTTAATTTCGCATAATTTTCAATAACTCCGAGACCAAGTGGCAGGAGGTATTTCCCTTACATTACTTTTTCCCCTAGCGGAAGCCGAATTTACTCCTCAGTGTGCAAACATTAGGGCCTCCAATTGTTTGATAAATTTATTTCAACTACTGAAATAAATGTTAAACCGAACGTTAATTTCGCATAATTTTCAATAACTCCGAGACCAAGTGGCAGGAGGTATTTCCCTTGCATTACTTTTTCCCCTAGCGGAAGCCGAGTTTGTTCGTCAGTGTGCAAACGTGTCGGTAAAGAGAACGACCCATTTTTTATACTCGTGGTTCGACATCGTCGCTTAACGTCCGCGTATCATCGAGCTTAGATAAACGGAGTCGCGCGCGGAGCGACCAGACTCGAGGCTGCGCTCGCGCGTTGACATCATCGATAATAATATTAAATTCGTAATGGTTCTGACGCGTCGTCCTATGCTCGTGGCGGTAAACAGAAAAAAACGACGATCTCGACCGCTCGGGTAATTAGAATATACGCGATGATAATCGTGTTTTGTACGTACAGCGAGCCTACTTCGCGGCGATAACGAAGCTGCGTGCGTCGGTTACGATTACGGCTCACGATCGACTCCCTGTCGCGTTTTCATTTTGTCACGGGAACGGATAACGCAGACCGACGATCCCGTTCTTCGGTTTCAGCTCCGATCTTTCATGATTGTCTCGTTTCTTTTTGTTTTCGGTCCGTTCGTTCGTTTTAGCTTCGAGAGAAAGAGAGAGAGGGGGAGCAGAGCTTATCGTACGGAACGAAAATGGGACACAAAGCGGCCATCGCGCTCCACATACCCCCGATTCGTTGCTTTATCACGCGTACAGCGCTGCATCCTTTGTCGAACGGTATCTATTGGATTACATAAACTCCGGTAATACAACGAACCAAAGCGGTTCGAAACAGAATTGTTTCTTTTTTTTTTTACCAAAAATCTTGCCTAGATTCTACGAAACTGAGAGAAAAATAGAACTTGATCTAAATCATCGTTACGATTAGTGTATCATCGATAGATCTCAGGGAAACGGCTTGGGTTCCAAAAGATACATCCAAACATGTCCACCTGAACATATTAGTACTCTAGCTATTAAAAGCACTTGTACCCAAGAAAATCTCCCTGGAATCCTAAACGATATTCCAACTGATCTTTGTTCCTCGTCCTGCAGCGCCAGGTGACATCCGAATGAGAAACAATTCCCGTGAAGATTCATGGCCATCGATTTATCGTTTATCGGAATCGAATATCCGGTATTTCCCTTCTGCCGCTGCCGGAGATTCCAAGAAACCGAGCTAGCTATGTAAAAAATCCACGTGACCGAGGCGAGAGAGAAACGTGCGTTACGTACGTGCGTGTAAGATTTCTATGAAGTCGATCAGTTTCGCCACGATCGCGATCCATAAACATTTCTGCGAACAACTGCGCAGCCGTTGGATCCGTCGTGGATGATGATGGTGTATAACCGTGGTGTGACCCCGAGGCTGACTCCCTCGGTGTTATCGGGGATCGAATGTGCGATCGAGCCGCGTTTCGCTACGAAAATAAGAAACCAGTCTTACGTCCGCGCTGGCACGTTCAACATGTGGAGAACGGTGATCGTTTGCGCGCCAGTGCTGGCGATGATGATGCTGGCCGATGACACCCTCGCGATCGAGGGCGTCAAAGGCGGTCATCGTGGTTATCCAGGTGCAAAAGGTGGACGTACGGGGGGCCAGAACGCCGTGAACAGCACCATCCTCGCCGGACTTTGCTACAAAACGATACCGTGAGTAAAGACAAGAAACCGCGCCGCGTACACACGTTAGCACGTGTCGTACTCCACGGTGAAAACAATCGCGTTATCTGGAGTTCTTTGAGAAGACCTGTAACACAGTGCCCTCGTCGAGTTATGGTGACTTCGTAAAAACTATAGGGTGTAAATATTCGGACATTCGGATTGTTCGAATAATTCCAGTAATCTCAAATACGAATATTTATTCGAATAATTCGAGTGGTACGAATTATTCGGATAATTCGAATAGTACGGTGTATTTTAATATTTGAAGATTCGAATAGTATGAAGTATTCGTATTATTCGAATATTCGAATAATAGAAATGATCGAATTTTGAATTGTACCGAGAACGAATAATGGTAAAGGCCAATGTGAACGGAATTTCACGATAAAGTGTGAACGATAAGTGTAAAAATATATATATTGTGCTCGGATTCCTATTCGGTGCAATCCAAAATTCGGTCACTTCGAATACTCGAATATGACATGGTTGTTGAAGCCCTAAAGGGTATACTGAACTTAATCCTACAAAATCACTCCTTAAATAGTTTTACATTCTATGAAGGAAAAAAATATTTCAAATTTCAAGGGTATAAAAACAATATTATAGATGTGGTAAAAGAAAGTAAATAAGACCAAATAAGTACAGCCCTTCAAGTGCATCACACAAACCAACTGCAAGGTTCACCTACGGAAAATCGTTATAGCTCGAGGGGGACACTATGACTAGGGCAAATGGGGATGGTTTTTTGGTGGTTCATCCACGGAAAAGATGATCATCCCGATTTCAAATTCGTTGGTCGTTCGGGCGGGAACGGCAGTTTACATACAAGAACGTTCCAGAACCACGCGAAACCTATAAGCGCGTCCCTCAAACTGTGTAATAAAGCGAAACGCAGCAGCAGCGTTCGCGTAAGAACGCCGTACGTAACCTTTGGCACCTCGGTTATCGCGACAACACGAGTTCGCTCTGGTTCTCATACGACGTATATGTACATATGTGTTTTCAGTTACGCGGATGCGCTGGCTATGAACTCGACGGGCCAATTCCCTCATAATACTCTTCCCTCGACCCACGAGGATGGAACGGTAAATTTACGTTTTGAATTAGATTGCCTTTGGGCGGGGCCGTTGTACGTTGCTCGAAACAATTGGAGGGTCGAATGGATTCGGTACGGTAAATCCAGGATGAGTGTTCGAAGGCCCCTCGGCACTGAGCATTAAATATTTCATAAACTAATAGTCATATCAATATCATTGGCTTGAGAATTCCAAGCTCTATCGTTGTGCTGTACCTCATTAACACTAGAACTACCAAAGCAGTCAAAATGACTTGGTACATTCTTCTAACGATTATTAAAATGTCATAGCGATGTATTTTCTCTGCTATTTTACAACTTTTATTCCATTTCGAAACTGAAGAAATTGATTTATAAATTTCTATATTTTCATAAATTTGCCATGTTTATCATTCCAATAGAAATCGATATACGTTATCATCGGTAGTTCCAGTGTTAAAAAGGTCAGGGATACACCTGGATACCTCTCCTTGTTAGTGCCGAGGAATCCTGGAACACTCATCGAGGATTTACTGTATCTGTACATGTCCTTGTCTCGTAGCTGCAAGTGCTTCGAGCAACGAACCCCTGCAAAGATCCATAGCAACCTACGTAGTGATTCCAACGTCTAACATTTAATATCCATTGTCAGACAAACGGATTGATCACGATCCTCGACTGCTGCGACGGCTACGAACGGAACATGTCGTCCGGTGGCTGCGAGCCTCGTTGCACCCAAGGATGTTTCGGCGGAAAGTGCACCGCGCCGAACGTCTGCACTTGTCCACCGGGTTGGTTCCCCCAGGAAGGCGTGTGCATGCCGTTCTGCGAGAGACCGTGCCAAAGAGACGCGTATTGTTTCTCGCCGAACGTGTGCGCCTGCAAATTGGGCTACGACGAGGTGAACGGCGAGTGCAGGCCGATTTGCCCGGGCGGTTGCAAGAACGGGGACTGCGTGGCGCCACGAGTCTGCAGATGCAAGTCCGGTTATGCGCTCCAATCGTCCTCGAACGGTGATTCGGGAATCGAGGCGAAGAAGTGCGTGCCAGTCTGCGAGAACTGTCAGAACGGAGATTGCGCGGCACCCGGAGTCTGCACGTGTCGCGAGGGGTAAGCATTCCTGAAATGAAACAGAAAGAGATCTTTAGAGGAAGGTTTTACAAAGGATGATCACTTAAGAATTTCACCTGAAGTATCTCCATTGTTTTTAAGGATACAAGAACATTTGTAAGGGAACGAATCTTAGCATCGGTGGAGCAATTATTGTAATACAGATTTTTTCTCAAGGTCATATTTTCCGATACTTCAAGGTAATCATCATTTTTTTAACTGGGATAACGTACTTTGAGTAGTGTATCGGTATCGCCAATAAAAAAGACAAATTCAATTATTCTTCAATAAACGTATCTTAGCGTACAAAGACGATATTCATCTCATTAAAGAAAAAAACGACGATGACCTTGAAGTATCGGAAAATATAACCTTCAGAAAGAAGATTCTATACCACAGTAATTCCTCCACTGAAGCAAAAAAGGTTTTCCCTTACACGACTTCTTGTATCATCAAGAACAACAAAGATATTTCAGGTGAAAATCATAGGTACCTCGCCCTGTACATAAACTTCCTAATATAAAATTATATCAAAGTTGAATCATTCCGTTCTCCTCAGTTACGCGAATCCGCCAGGCGACACAGAAACCTGCCTCCCTAACTGTCCGAACGGATGCGTGGACGGTAATTGCGTTTCTCCAGGTGTCTGCCAATGCAGACCAGGCTTCACGCTCGACCCTACCGGTAAATGCGCGCCGGACTGTCCCCGAGGATGTCCGAACGGCGAGTGCGTCGCGCCTGGTGTCTGCAACTGCAGGCCAGGCTACGGCCTGGACCCAGCGAGCAATTGTGTCCCACGATGTTCCCAGGGCTGCACGAACGGCGAGTGCGTGGCCCCAGAAGTCTGCAAGTGCAGTCCAGGTTACACCCAAGATCCCGCGAACAATTGCGTACCGGACTGTCCCCAAGGATGTCCCGAGGGCGGCGAGTGCGTCGCGCCAGATATCTGCAGCTGCAAACCGGGCTTCACTCGCGACGCGAACGGTCGATGCGTTCCTCCCACTGGCCTGTCCAGCACTGCTCCTCAGTGCAGATACGGTTGCGGTGCGAACGGCACCTGCGTCGGCCCGAACCAATGCGTCTGCGATCTCGGATTCCGCGTGGACCCAGATACCCGTCGATGCATCCCATCGGCGATGTCGTTCACGTGCAGAAACGGTTGCGGCTCGCACGGGGTCTGCGTGGGCCCCGACTTGTGCATCTGCGACTACGGACTGACCGTGGAACCCGACACCGGCCGATGTCCCGAGCCGAGACCCACCGATCGGACTACGGACACCCTTTGTGGTTATGGTTGCGGGCCTAACGGTCGTTGTATCGGGCCTAATCGTTGCATCTGCGAAGTCGGTCACGTCGTTGATCCAGAGACGGGTAGATGCGTGCCGCAGAGGATCTCCCAGATAGGCGAACCGATCTGCGAGAATCCTTGCCTGAACGGCGAGTGCACCGGGCTGAATCAGTGCACCTGCAAACGGGGCTACGTGATGGACCCGAACGATCCCACCAGAACGAGATGCCTGCCCGTATGCGTCGGTGGTTGCGTGAACGGAGTGTGTTCAGCGCCGAACTTTTGCATATGCAACCTGGGTTACAGAAAGGAGACCGGTGTCAAGGGCAGACAGAGATGCGTCCCTGTACAGTAGACGATCGCCTCGTCTCTGTCTATCTCTCTCTTTTTGTCTGGTCCCGTCTAGGTCGACGCGTTTGTGTCCAGAGACTGTGTATGCATGCGTGTTTCTCGGTATGAATGATTCATGGCGAGTCAACTGAACATCAGTTAGATCCCTCTCGTCCGGTTGATAGTGTAATCTGTAGATGGAACAGCGACGTTCGGAGCGGAAGTATAGATGTCGATGTAACGTTTGTAATGTTAATTAATAAACGATGGAACGGAGGAAAATGATTTCATGGAAACGGGATGGGATGGGTAAGGAAAGGGGGGAGGGAGTATCACCTAACATCCTCTTTCGCTTCAGATAGGACGGGGACGAATGGATTGCAGTTAAGTAAAATAAGCGCCAGTGGGATGGTTCATCCATCCGAAGCAACATAGTTGTGATCGAATCGCTCGTTGAAACGCGTAATATCTGTCTCTTAAAATGAATCTCCTAGTGTTTCTTGCCGTTTTTAATTCCCTTATCACGATGCTGGTAGGTTACAATGACTACAACGTCGGGGTTCGTTCAAGGAGACAGGAAACTAAAGGACTCTGCAATCATATGGTCAGGTGAGTTCCCGTAAACACTTATTTGGACATGTCTGCTTTGGTCGACCCCGTTTTTGGGCTCAAACGAGATCTATGTTCTCAGCTACTATAAGTCGCGAAGCGTGCCGTATTTCGAAACGTATCGGGTGAGGAAGTGGGGGATCTTCTACAACACGAAAGTACGAATGAATTACCGGACAGAGGTAAATAAACGTATTTGACGTCTACGACACTCTCGATACACCGAACGTACAGGGTGTTCCATTGAAATCGACCCACTCGAATATCTCCGAAACTGTCGACGATATTAAAAAATATTTCAGACAAAAGTGAAATGGTATCGGGGGACACACCTTCCGATGTGAGTGACTTTTTTCATGTGGACGCGTACAGGTCATATGAAAGTCTACTTTATCTTTTTTTTTAAACGAAATCGTTTATTTTTTAATGCACTACATGATGCTACACGTTATTCCCTACATAAAGTACTAACTAAAATTTATTATTAATTATTAGATTATATTAAGCAGGACGTACTTTTAAATACCAACTTTCGAAAGGTGAGTGCTAATACGTATACAGTATTAATGCCACTACGCAATATTAAAATCAAAATATCTTCTAAACTAAGAATTTTCCGCTATTAGTGACTTAATACTTCATCCAGGGAATTACGAGTAGCATCCAAGTAGTGCGTTAAAAAATATACAATTCCATTGAAAAAAAAGAAGACAAAGTTGACCTTCATATGACCTCTACGCGTCCATATGAAAATAAATTACATCGGAAAGTGTGCCCCCTTTTTCCTATCGTCAACAATTTCGGAGATGTCCGAGTGGGTCGACTGAAATGGAACACTCTGTATAGACATGGCCAAACGGTTATGTCGAGAGAGATCGATAATCGTTTGAAAAACGTTAGAATAATTTCGCAAGTGTACGGACTAGCAGACAGTGATTGGTTTCAGTACGAGGTCGCTTTTCGCGAGGAGAAAAGATGCTGCGCCAAATACAGAATGTCGAGGGATGACTGCGTGCCGATTTGCGACCCAGACTGCGTTAACAGCGACTGCGTGCTGCCGGACGTCTGCGTTTGTCACGCCGATTATTACAAACACGAGGCACTCACGAACTTCGGTCACATTTGCGTACCCGCCTGCAATATGTGCCCACACGGAAAATGCAATCTACCGAACGTATGCGAGTGCGATCCCGAGTACAGAATGAATGAACTGGGGACGTGCCAGCCAATTTGCAGCAACGACTGCGAATCAGTGAACGCGTACTGTTCCGCGCCTGAGGAATGCACCTGCAAGGAGAATTACAAGCAGAAACCAGACTCGGAAGTGCGTAATTATCAACTCTGATTGTGATTATTGCGCCTCTTCAAGCTGTAGTGAGTTCGTAAAAACAGCAGGGGTTTGAATCATTCACACTTTTAAGGTGGCTCGTGCCATAAAGATTGTTCATTAGCACGAAATACTCGAAAAATTTGAAACTAGGTCGCCGATCAAGTAAACAAGAAGTTCAGTTTACAAGATAGCTCTTATGGCAGTCTTACGATTTCGTATCGGGAGTATAGGTAATGATGTTTTTATTTTCACAAAAACTGGGACTTTTAACCAAAAACTAGGCACTGAAAGTATAAATCTTGAGCTGTCTAAGATATTTAACTATAAAGTGCAGGATGTGTCAGTTATTAAATGGTTATTGAGACTATTGTTTGATCGCGGCTCTTTCAGATCATGTATCAAAGGCTCATTCCGTTTTCAGTTGAAGTGATCCCATATTCGGATAGCTTTTCATTTGCAGCGATTGTACAGTTTTAGAACTGAGTCGTCAACATAAGTAATATAAATCTTTCAACCGGTCGAATGACCGGTCGCGGTCGGCAAGACAAGCTGCAGTAATGTCTCGATAAGTGCAACGAACTCGTAAATTTGTTTTTTGCACGATGCCAAAAAACTCTGCTTAGCTTCTGTTTACTTTGTTTTCATTGGGTGCAGAGGAGGACCTAGTGGTGGGAAAAACGTGTCGCATTCATCGAGGAATCACTGTATTTCCCAGAAAACTAAATAAGAGGAGAATTAAATCTTGAAAAATTAATTATACGTATATTATAAGAAAAGTCGTGAAGTTAAATGACGATCTGATAACGTTGTACGTAGGAAATCGTACACAGAAGTTTGAAAACGGTCGTTTGACCGGTCGTGGTGGGTTTAATGTTAAAAAACGTCGATTGTCCGTAGATATGCACGCCGATCTGTCAGGTCAACTGCGTGAACGCCGAGTGCTCGGCGCCTGACGAGTGCACGTGCAACGCCGGTTATGAACGTAATTCGGAGAATCCGTTCGTTTGCGATCCGAAGTGCGACGGCGGCTGTATGTTCGGGATCTGCGTGGCGCCCAACACCTGCGAGTGCCATCCTGGATACCGTATGATCGACAACAACGTATGCGAGCCGGTCTGCAGCGAACCCTGCCAAATGGGTATCTGCATCTCGCCGGAGACATGCCATTGCAACGACGGCTACGGAAAATTCGGTGATTCCCAATACGTGTGCGAGCCGATCTGTGAGAAGGCCTGCGTGAACGGGACCTGCACCGGCCCGGCAACCTGCACCTGCCACGATGGCTTCCGTCTCAGCGGCGACGAGACCATGCAACACGTCTGCGAGCCGGTCTGCGACATAACTTGCGAACCTTACGGGCATTGCGTCGCACCTAACACTTGCATCTGCTTCGACGGATATCAACTGAGTTATGTAAGCAATCAATGGATTACAAATTATTTATAATTAGACATAGGTTGTTCCATAATTTTGGTCGTACGATCCTGGTAGAAGGGGCAGAACAATTACCTTCAGACCATCGAATAGCCCGACCTTTTTTCAGGTGTTTACCCTAAACCCTATAGATGACGCGTCAGTTTACTGTGAGAAATCATAGTTGTGGCATGGCTACTCTCACAAGACGCGACTTTCAAGTGTTTTTCTCCTAGATTAGTGCTTTGAAATAAATTGAAGAACGTCAGCAGAAATAGGTGCGTTTTCGGTGTCCTTTTCATTTTGATCGTTATTGAAACATATTTAAACGTCTAGCTCATAAAAATATATCAGAAACGCATATTAACGGTTGCGAGGAATTGTATGTGTTGAACAGTGTAATTACCAGGTTATTCTTCTGCTCTTCCTACCAAGGTCGTCCACAAAAAATTATGGAATAACGTATAGTTAGTTCCCAAAAGTTTTCAACTCATCATGATAACATTCGGTACGAATTATTCAACGCATTTCCCTTCTGAAAATGTGTAGCAAGATTACAATACCTAAATAGCGCCTTAAGGAATCGTATTTCACTGAATCTTACAGACGGCGGTGGTCTACGATGTACATTCGATCTGCCAGCCGATCTGCACGGAAGATTGCAAGAACGGATACTGCAGTAGTCCAGGGGTCTGCAGCTGCTATTCGGGCTACCAGTCGCGGCCTGATAAACCGACAATTTGCGAGCCGATCTGCGACAGTACTTGCGTGAACGGTTACTGCCACACACCGAACGTGTGCGAATGCAACCCAGGTTATCAATATCACATGTCGAGTAACAACTATTGCGAACCTCTCTGTCAACCGCCCTGCGAGAACGGTCTCTGTACCGCGCCAAACGAGTGCACCTGCCACTACGGCCACGATTCGCATCCGTTGAATTCGTCCGTGTGCGTGCCATCTTGCGGCGATCGATGCCATTTCGGGACGTGCGTCGCGCCGAATGTGTGCAACTGCAACGACGGTTACACCTTGAACGAGGTGTTCGATTGCGTGCCGATCTGCAAGAATTCGTGCGGTGACAACGGTGCTTGCGTTGCTCCAGACATGTGCAGATGCCTGGACGGCTATCGTTTCGTCGGCAACGAAACGTCGTTCGATTGCGCGCCCGTCTGCGAGTTCGACTGCGTGAACGGCACCTGCGAGTCGCCGGCGGTGTGCACGTGCGACAAGGGCTTCGAGAAAGACGAGGAGGGTCGCTGCAAGCCGTTCTGCGCGTCCTGCGGAAACGGCACCTGCGCGTCACCTGGTGTCTGCGAGTGCAACGACGGCTACGTTCTGATCGCGCAGGGGAACAGAAGCGTCTGCGAGCTCAGTTGCGGCGAATGTACCAACGGGAAATGCGTGGCCGGCCTGTGCGAGTGCGACGTTGGCTTCGTGAGAAACGGTGACAACGACACCGGCTGCGTGAGCGCGTGCAAAGAGAACTGCAACGATCGGGGCTTGTGCGTCGCCGAGAACCGAACCTGCGAGTGTTACTACGGATGGAGCGGTTCGCATTGCGACCAACCGATGTTCTGTGTCGTGGTAGTCGACGAGGATAGCGAATACAAGAACGCGTGAGTAGACGTGTGCCCGATTCGATTCGTTCGTCTTGTGAAACATGAGTTCGAGTTTGTTTATTTATTTTGCAGAACAAGCATAGCCGACAGCGTGAACGACACGATTGTCAGCGTGAACGACACGATTGTCAGCGTGTTCGCGAGCAGCCCACTGTGTTACAACAACTGCTTGGACGAAATCGGCAACGAAACTCTGTGCTTCGACGGATACAGACCGAACGGCGCTGAGAACGATTCGATCGCGTGTCTTATGAGCACAGGTGAGTAATTTTATGTTTTTTTAATTGAAATTCTGTTCGTGCTTCAATGTGTGTGCTGTTTCAGAATCGATCTGTTACACGATATCTGCGCAACATGCAACAACGTCTGGTTACATTACGACAGCTGGAATCGTGGGCATCGTGGTTGCAACGACGGCGATCGTCGCCGTGACGTTTTTGTTGATACGAAAGCATCGGTCCAGAAGATTCTCTTTGGGTAATTATTCTGTTTTTTGTGATATGAACATTTTATACGGAAATGAATGAGAACATTTTCTGCGGTATATACAGGTGACACGCCAACCGTGTCGGCGCGGAGCCGTGCGTCTTTGTTGCCCGACGAGGACAGTAATCTGTAGCGGTTGCGGAATCGTCATTAGTAACTGTAAGACATTAATTATTATCTTGTTATATTGTTCCTTACGCAGAGTTGATTGTTATAATTCTTAATAAACAAATTACTATATTCTTCAAGATTTTCCGTCGAGGACTTCGAATCTTTGCGTCAAGGGTTAACCTTGGTCGGCCATTTTGAATTTGTGTGTCTACCCACTGAACGAGAGAATGGTATACAGAATTCTTGTTACAAGAGGAACGCTGAGTTTCTTTCATTTTTTCCAATGCAGAACTCAACTAAGAAGGTCACGCACTTTCGTTCTCGGCGAATGGGAAAGCAGACTGGAAACTCCGAGGACGATAAGACGCGACGCCTCACTTCCGTCGCGACACGAATGCAATATACGATAATGCTCGTGATAAAGTAGACGATTGTCGGTTAAATTTTCTACATTGTACGCGGAACGAGTAAATAACGAAGAAACGAAGCTCGAGGAACGCAGATGTCCCAGATATCGCGTAACGGAATTGTCATTCGACGTTATGAAAATAATTCTCCGTCGAGTATTTATCTAGTAGATTTGAAGGTCGGTCAAGATCTTACGATTCCCCGTCGGCGACGTTCAACGTTTCGTGAATCGATATCTCGTTAAGAGTCGCCCAGTATACACCCTACGGTAACAAACCGAAGCCAAATGACTACTTCGAACGCGATACACACAAACCTCAATTATTCCCACCGTACAAACCATTTCACGCATGTGAAAACATACTTCGAAAAATACCAGCTCACGAAGGAAGGACCAAATTGTCCGACTTCGATTTTAACGGGGTTTTATAAGATGATGGTAAACAGGTTCCTGATGATATATGTGAAATATTTGGTGTAGACTCTCGATAATTTTAAAGATATACAGTGAATCCTCGATGAGTGTTCGAAGGTCCCCAAGTGTAACGCTGACTTTGTAATCGAGGATTTACTGTAAACAATTGAAGTTACGAACCTTCAAGATATACTATAAAAATAAGTCAAAATTGCATTGGCAAAGTGAAACAAAAATATTTCAGGAACGGGAATCGATCTCTAGACCTCCACTTTACCAACAATACAACTTTCAATCCCAGCCATGCAACCTATATTTCCATAAATTTGACTTACATTCACAATACACCTTAATGGCACGTAACTTCACAAAATTATTTACATCTTCAAAATTATCAAGAATGTACACCTAACATTTCACATATACAATTAGAAAAAATAAAGAAATAAAATTAAAATCGAATTCGGACAGTAGGTGTCCATCCCTCATCAGAACACTCCCATCGCTGGAATCACCCACAAGATCCTTTCTTCCAGTTCCCCACCAGAGAGGTTCCGCCCTGGAAAAAGCTCTCGAAAAAATATCCACTTCCAAATTACACAGCCCCTCCCTCTTCAATCATTGCACAGGAAACGCAAACGTTCCCCTCCTCAGAGTACTCGTGGCCCGAGGTCCGTTTCAAGGTGTCCGACTGAAAAGGTAACAAACCAATAATCCAACACACACACACACACACACTCCTTTACTGGTAGCCGCCGGTGGTTCGCCGACGAGAGAGGCAAAACGGTGAGATCTCGATCGACGCGGCCAGAAGGGAGGAACGAAGGTAGGGGCGTCGGAACAAGGGTAGGGTAGGAGGGGTGGGGGATGGTGGGTACATATCGCGCAGCTGCAGCTGCGGCGGTGGTCGACCGGCTAACGGAAGGAAGGCGTCAGTGAACGGGGAGGCACGGTACCGAGAACGTTGTCTGTGCCTGACTAGTCGGATAGATAGTCACCCGGTTTCGCGGTACCGCTACTGGGGCAGCAGATATTACCGAGGGGCGCGTTTGTGTATGTGCGTATGTGTGCGTGCGTGTGAGTGCATGTGCAGGTGATATCCGTTTGGGTCTCGCGGGTGTTCATATCTGGGTCCCCCACCCCCTGGGGTGTGGGTCAGACGGGGCCGTAGGATATTGTTCATCGGATAGCCATATCAACGCGATATAAGTCGCTCGCCAGGGGCCGAGAGGGCGAGCGGGCGTGCAGAAGGGCGGGAGGGGGGGAGGGCAGGCGACGGGGAAGGATGTCGATGCGCCGCCGGTGGTCGGTTTCGGGGGTTGACTCGCGCCGCGGGGGCGATGAGCGCACTTCCCTCCGCCCTGAGACTGACCTGCTGCCGTTCCTGGCTACTGCTGATCTGCCTCGTATTCCTGGTGTCAAGCTGCGGCTCCGTGGCCGGCCGGGATCGTCTCGCCACCCGGCAACTGCTGCACGCAGGTGATGACGTCCGTGGCTCCAGCTTCAACGAGGAGGAGGAGGACGACGACAACGTCGATGTGTACGACGAGCAGGACTATCTCGAGGAGAACATCACTGCGGGTGAGTCAGCGGTAGCCTGGCCTAATCACCTGTGCGGATATTGTGGAGACAGTGGAATTATATGAGGATGTTTAAAATGACGGGGGTTAGTTATGAGGGGATGGGTTGGTACACCGAGGTTAGAGTATTGAGCTGACTATGAACTGTGTACGTGTCTGATGTAATAATGGGATAGAGAAGAAGCTGGAAGATGGTCACAGTTGAAGGTTTGATGGGGTTGAAAATGGGACAAGGAGATTGAAGGGCTGTTGACACGTTTCCGGTGGAGATGAAACGAGAGCTCACGGAGAGTCTACGAATTTTGCCTCGACAACGGTAGAAGTTAGAATTGTTCTTGGTGAATCGTACGCGAGATCATAGATTGTTGACTCTTTAAAAGGGAGGTGGAAAGATGATACTCGGAGAGTCTATTGGGAGTCGTTGTCCACATCGCCAGGGAAACATTCGTATCGCGGACCCCATCGTTAGCCCTCGAGCTCGACCCGATTTCGTACCAGTTCGACCAGCCAGTTTCTTTCGCAATCGATACACGCCCTTCGCAGGAGGACGGTTATCTTATTCTCACGCGGTACAAGGACGATCGAACGAGGAACGCGTGTGTGCCTTGAGACTTCTTCTTCTCGAGCTTGCTCGAAACGAGCGGTGCAAACACTTCTGCGATCCTTCAGACGGCGATTAAACACTTGTCACTGGTCGTCAATCGAGACGTTTACTTTCTCCCTTGGTCGCGATATAACTTCCTATTATCGATTCCATCGATCACTGAACTCACCTCGTTCAATGAAATTATAAACAGGAAAGATTCTAGATTAGTCTTCTAGGAATCTGAACCCTTAGGACATTGTCTAATCTTCATCCTTATTCAAACGTTGCTCCTTAGAACTCTACTATTCACGACTGTTGGTCCTCGAATAGAGTTCAAACCTCGATGGTAGACCCAATCACAAATTATGCAAATTCCTCGGGGCGAAACTGGGTCTGACGAAGGGGAAGAAAACAAATACCAGCACAAGTGCGCCGGAATGCAGCTGCGGCGCGCACACACGCATGCGTACACGGGACGGCCGAACCCTCTACGTCCTTCTTGATTTTCGCGCCAACCACGCCGCCGGTATTGATTTTAATGGATGCTGCAAGCTCTGTCACGGTGTCCGCGTGTGGGAGTTCACACACCGCCCGCAACTGCGTGAGATTCAAAAGAATCTCTCTCTCTCTCCTTCTCCCTCTTTTGCCTCTATCCTCCACGACGCAGTGTACCAAGCGAAAAGGTTAACGAAGAGAAACCGTGCGTCATTCACCCCTGTTATGCCTGCCATTCAGCCGAGTCCCACTTGGAGAACGGCTTGATAAACCGGCGAGAAACACCGGCGAATCGCACGGCCCCAGTGGACCACCCCCGAACCAGGTCAGAACTGCAATCGTGGAACTCAGGATGCTCGGTTCTGTCGGGCTGCGGGGAGTCTCGAGGATTCCATCTCGAGAAAGTACAAGAAAAACCACCCGCGGTTCCGTAATTCCAATTTATAAAAGAGGGCGCCTGGGGTGGTTCCGCGTCTGTACGTTTTGATGAGACCTAATGGGGATCTTCGGTTTCTTCGAAATCATTTCGATGGTATCTTTTCGATCTTCGACGATTCCCAGCATTCACTGAGACTAGTGAAAATGTTGTTAGTGAGGATTGGCCAACAGAGCCCCACCCTTTTTCAGTTAGAAGTGACGTATGTAGAATTTTAGACGATCATGAATGCTTCTTTTCAGTATTCTATACGTTTCCACTTTTTGTTCTGTCGTTCTTCTTCAAGAAATAATATTGAAATCCTGCAAGCTCTTTCTTTTCAGGATTCTGTACAATTTCTTCCCATCGTCCTATCGTTTTTCTTCAAAAAATAATGCTGAAATTCTACAAATTTCATGAATGTTTGATACCAAAATTTTGATCCGCCACGAATCCTTCTTTTCAGTATTCTGTACAATTTCTGCCTTCCGTCCTATTGTTTTTCTTCAAGAAATAACGTTGAAATTCTACAAGCTTCTTGACTGTTTGATACGAGCTAAGCAACTTAAATTTTATAGAATTACAGTCTAAAGAAGCCCTGGGAAGAGTCCGTGCGCCGAATCTACCCGTAGACCCCAACAACCCTGAGACTCGCTTGTACAATTCGAAGGATCGATCGATCAGACCGACGGGAAACTTAATAAAAGCACCCCCGATTCCTATCGGTGTGTTTCCCTCATTCCTTTTTTTCGAACGATGTTTTTCCGAGAATCTCAGCCAGCAACGGATACGATGTCGCGGTTTACTGGTCCTGAACGTCAGCCAAGGAAGTCGGTGTCCGCGAAACATTTAATAACGATGTGATACTGTAATTAAGGTGAAATCGATGGGGAGTTGTCTGGCAGACTGCCCGAGTCTAGTAGCTCGAAGCTAAATGGTGCAATTAGCTTGAGCGCAAAACTTACCCCGTTAATATCCCCGAAACTGGAAGATTCGAGCCAATAAGATCGGGGCAACAACGCACGGAGATGTGGAGGTTCGTGTTGGGTGCAGGGTGTGCGCGTATAGAGGGCGGTGCTATTGTTGGTTCACAAAAAGGCACTCGACATCGAACATCTTTTGACGAAGGAAAGCCTCGCTGGGGGTAGCGTACGTGACAATGCCTCTTTGCTTTATTAATCGTTCGGCGCCAGGACGACAAACGGACGCCCGTGACAAGAGATAGCTGGATACCAAAGGGAACAAAGAAACGTATCGAGCCGAGGCTGAAAGAGGTCTCACGGTTTCGGCGTACTGGGGAAACAGACACACCTGATCAGAAAGTGTCTATATCCATTTACTGCGAAGTAATTATTTTCTGTCGACTTGATTCGAGGACTGAAAATTACTTTTGCAGGGAATTAGTTTCGGTAGGGTATACGAGGTAGTAGAAGGTTCTCAGGTTTTAGAACCGAGCAGTAGGTGATTCTATACGAAATAATGAATCGAAAAAGAAGAGTAAGTTTTTTCCGTTCAAGGTTTCGTTTTCGAGAGAATCGAATTTGAAAATTAATCTGTTACGCGTGTATTCGTGGTGGTAAGTAGATACGGAATGTCATGAACAGACGTGGTCGCCAAGTCCTATTCAATTGAACGTATCTAACAGATTTTCAAATTCGATTGTCTCTTAAAACTCTAAAAAAAATGTATTCTTCTTTCTCGACGTATTTTTGGATTGTTGAATCCTCTCCATATCCATGCCAATTCTACAAAGTCGAATTTAATTATTTCCCACACTTAACAGCTTCAGAATGGCGGGAAAAATATACGAAACTCTTTTATTCTTTTATTCCGTCGTGTCTGTTACCATTGATCCACCGACCAAGATATATCCTTATCCTTCCAAGCGTATCCTGTTCGTTTCCCTGATCATTTTATATTTTCAGTCGAATTACGAATCTAGGCCAGAACATCAATGCTATTTAAAGAATATTCCTGCATGTTTCATTTACTGTCAAGAAACACAGTACGCGCACCAACCACGATACTATCGATTTGATCGTGTTTTTTTCCAGCGAAGGGACAGTACCTGGGCTCGCCGTGCGATGTCTCGTGCAATCCGGAATTGCAGCACGTGTTCTGCGACAGCGTCACTGGCCACTGCGAGTGCGAGAAATTCTATCCAGTTCGTCTTGGGCCTACCAAAGGATGTGCCAAACGTATGTAGCACGCGATCGTTCAAGTAGGTCGTTCCGATATCAAAAACTCCATGGTAACACGGACAGAGAAAGAGAGAGAGGGAGACGGGAAAATAAATGTCGAGGGAGCTATGTCGTCTTTGAACGATTGTTCGACGCATCGTGAATAGAACGTTTTGTGTTTCGCTCCTCCCTTCGCGAAGCTGATCCATTTTGACGCTCGTTTATTCAAACACTTGTCACGTAGCAACGCGTTAATCCTTGTATCAGCTTCGAACCGACTATTCATTGACTTTCTCTCGAATTTTGAATGGACGACAATCGACGCCGCTATTTCTATGATATTCTGAGCCTTCTATTTCATCGACCTCTATTGTCCATGAAATTATGCTTAGGTTATACTATAGCCGAGGAATTAGAGTGTAATGTTTTCAGAAAAACAATTAGTTTTCTCATGGACATTGTTTTGGTTTCGTCCTGAATTTATTTTTAACCCTAGGTTACGAAAGTATCGTAGAAATTACGATTTCAAAATATAAAATTCTTAGATAGCTGTGCACATTATTAAAATTTGATATTAATTGTTTTAATTATTTTTAAACTGCAGTTCTCCCAAAGTAGTTGTTCCAAGGATTTGTACCAAAAGGTAAATAAAAATATTGTTTCTCCCAGATATATAGGGTTCTCTTTTAGTAGTGAATTTAACGAAAGTTTCGTGATAACGTAATTCACAGTGAAATATCGTAATCTAGGGTTAAAGGAAAGCACAGTTGAGAATCTTATACAGCCCGTCATTTTATGTGCAATAATTTAATATTCAAGTTTACGTGTTACAAGCAAGAAGGCTCGAAATATCGAAGAGAATTTAGGTCTGAGGTTCCGTGTTACCAACGTGACACCGAAGACACTTGGCTCGGACGATCGTGTGAGTAGTGCGGGTCAAGGAATTGAAGGACCGACCGGTTTTGTTTCCAGCCAAAAGACTCGGGGAGCAGTGCTTCTATCGGGCGACTTGCACTTTTACGGATCAGCACTCGACCTGCACTCAAGTGCAGCACCATGCTGTGTGCGACTGCGAGGTTGGCTACCATAGGGTCTCCCTGTCCAGGCCTAACAAGAAGGTGTTCTGCGCCGAAGGTACAAAAACACTTGCCCACGTGAAACGGACGAACTACAACACGCAGGGTGTTCGAAAAAGATTGTGATGCAATTCAAATATATCTCGAGGGCTCGTAGGAATGACACGAAGAATGTGCAACCAAGACACGAGAAGTCTTCTATTTCTCGAAATTTCTTTTAGTCGAAAAATATTTTTCTTCGTCCTAATTACCAACCACTAACACTAAACCTACCAAACCCTTCAAAAAGGTAGGAAGTAGAACTACAAAATCGATGGTAGTGAGTTTAGTGTTAAAAATAGGAAATTATTAAAGTAAAGGATAAACAGAAAGTCTGCTACTGCCTTGTAAAATTACGAAAAACGAAATGATTTATTTACTTTCCATGGTCTTAAGGGTTAACAGTTACTTATCCAGCAAAATATTCATTAGTGTTTCTTATTCACTGTTTCATGCTATACCCCAAAAAGCTGAAAGAACGTTAAAGAATCTTTCTTCTTATTACTTCAAATGGGTACATTAGAAGCCACCTAAGTTCAGCACAACCTTTTCAGAACACTATGCTAATCATTCTGCAGATTCAGACTGATTCGGGACAACAGTCTTTTTCAAGCACGTTGACCTGAAGAGGTCCACGAGGTATCCTACTCGCGTTGCACTTTCGGTTACCCTGCCAAAGTGCTTTTGTATTCACCGTTACAACACGTCTGTTGGCAGATCTGGTGCTGATAACTACGGACGTGCCGACCCTGCTCTTCATCGCGTCCGGTATCGCGATATTCACAGCGATGATATGCTTCGTGCTCAAGCTATTCAGCCGCGCGAGATACACAAGGCCCCGGCATTATGCCAACGCAAATCACGCGCCACCGATGCTGTTCTCCAGCGACACCGGTGAGTCCTATTGCGCAAACAGAACCGCGGACACCCAGAGTCCATTACCATTGGTCGATAAAAACCGTGCGCAGGATTCGATCGCGTCCGAAAATTTCGCCCCGACTCGATCGGCAGAGTCAGGCTCGGATTAAGATTTTTTGTAGCCCAGGGCTATCAAACCTTCGAGGGCCCCCTTGCTTGATAAGCCGGGGGGAGGGGGGTAAAATACATAAATCTTCAAAAATTGAAATTTATCCTAAATACAAATAAATAACATTTAATCATAACGAGAGCTTGATTATAACTAACAATGCTTCGTTATATTCTAACAACTTTGATCCGATTTGTTTCTACAAAATTTCACATTACTTTCTGACATAAACGGAAGGCTTAGATCGCCCCCCCCCCTAGCCCCACCCTTAATCCACCGCTGGTTAGAGTTCAAAGGATACCAGTTAATCGCCGCAACTATCTGCAACAAGGCCGTTTTTATACAGGGTGTACAATCTGACGTGAGCACGTTTTATATCTCACTTGTTTTTGAAAATACGAAAAAATGCGAGGGGAAAGTATTATTTGATTAGGAGGAGCAAATACTACATTTTCTCAAGGTCATGTTTTTTAAAACGGGGCTATATATTTTTGTCAGTGTGGTGTAGTAGTTAAGATCAAGACCAATCCAATCTCCTAACAGTAAATTTTCGGCAAATCAAAAGCAAGCGCGATATTTAAGGTGCTTACGTTAAGTGGAACACCCTGTATATTCCTATTACGACGTTCTCCTTTCCGCGGAATCAATACCTCTAAGTATCAGCGAAGAGCACTCCTATTTTCGCTTCGTGGAATCGGATTTATTAACTGGCAACCAGAGGCCAATATAAAATTATACGATCCCGCGGCGGACATTCTGAAACGTTACGATTTTACTTCCATCATTCATATTGGATTAATATGCTCCTGGAATTCGAATTGTTGGCTGAGAAGAGATCGTTCGAACACACGTGTTTGTTAAGTACGAAAATAGAGTCGTCTATGAGCCAGGTACAGTAGACATTCGTTTAATGTACTCCGGTTTATTGCGTCTTAGGAACGCTCCTCGAACACACGTATCTCTCACACACGTGCCGCACACCACTCTGTCGCCTAACAAGGAAGGAACGCAATACATACAGTGATTCCTCGATGAATGCGACACGAGCAACGGCGTTATTCCCACCACTGGGGGGAGAGGGGAGCCCCCCCTGGAACCAATCAGAGAGAGTAAGCAGAAGCTAAGCAAAGATTTGGCAAAGAACAAATTTACGAGGACTTGAAATTTTGGGCCTTACCATGAATGCTCCAAAGCCGGCCCGAGTTGGTCGCTCTCACGGTGGAATTACTGTACGGTGTCGTGTTCAATTTGCATGTTTTCCAACACAGAACGTCCAATACATACAATACTGTTTTAATAAAATGTTTCAATACTACTTGACTTCTATAAATAAACTTTCTTGATATCACGAAAAATAACAGAGCTACTTAAGGTGATCAGAAAGTGCGTACATCCAGTCCACCCTATATACAACTACATCGAACAAGTGAACGGACGATCAACGGGAAGAGCGCACGTGTGATTGGCCCTCGTTTATTGCATCGTTCCAGGAACTTTGTCCCTCTACAGCCCCGAAAGATGCAATAAACGAATGTCTACTGTAGCTTCGTTATCGGAACAGTGGCAAAACCCCGCTAGTCGTAATACGCAAGCTATACACTTGTAAAAGTCGACCAAGGAAGAATCATAATTTTCTGACGAATCTTGATTGAACCAAAAAAAAAAAAAAAAAAAAAAAAAAAAAAAAAAAAAAGAAAGATAATAACGGACGAATTCCAAAAACAGGTATACCACTGACGCTTCACGGCGGCCGACCGTCCTCTCGCTCCAGTCAACGAAGCAGCACAGCGGGCCCGTTAACCTACGCGTTCACCAGAAGGCCCAGCAGCGGCGGCAGTCGTGGTCCCCTGGTACCGGCGTCGAGAGCAGGTGCGGCACGTGCCGCCGCCATCTTGCTTATATCGTGTCACCTGCAGGCGACCAAAGGCGGGAACAAGCATCGACGTACCCTTAGCGACGTTGCTGAGGGATCGTCCGACGGCCTCGGTAGACGATCAACGATCTCTTTCTAACTCTTTCGTTGTCTGTCTTCTCTCTTCTCTCTGCCCGTATCTATCTCTCTCTCTCTGTCTCTCTCTCTCTCTCACACACACACACTGTGTACACCACCACCACTGTCCGTTACTCTTCCTTCTCTTCTTCTCGTGTTCGAATGATCTCGTTCTTTGGCCGTGTATATCCCATCTTTCTTCTTCCGTCGTTCATGTGCCGTCCGAGTGGTCTGAGAGGCTTCTGACGCGAGGGGACAGTCGATCGCGAAATCTCCGAAATTCATATGGTTCTTCGTAAATCCTTAGGACAATCTTTTTGCCATTTTGACTTAGATTCTCGGTAGTTTGACTGGACTGTTGAAGAAAAATGAACTCTGTAGATCAGAGTATTCCAGATATTTTTTTAGTGAAAAATTTGTATAAGTATTTAGGTGATAGAGAAAGTCGTAGCTGGTTTCGCGGTCGACCTTAAGAGCCTTGACTCGCTGTTAGAAACGTTGGAAGACCACTCAGCTATCCTCACTGTCCATTCTTTGGAATAAATTGCAACAATTTGTTCCGTTATCTTTCCTTCCGTTTGCATCCTACACATCGTAAGGAGGCGAGACCGATGACGAAGAAGAAGAAGATGATGGTGGTGTTTTTCGAGTCGTACCGTGCCGTTGTCGCTGTTGTGTCGTAGTTGTTGTTATTGATACTTAGCTGTCCCTTTTCCACCGTCCTGGCTGCGTTTCCTGGGTTTCTTGCGATTGAATCCCTTCACGATACTATTCGATCGTGAAAGGCAGAGAGTCTACTGACCTATGGATGACGCGAAAGAAACTGGGAAACGCAAGCTTCGAGTCTTCGTTCACGTTCCTCGACACGAAGAATCCTCTTCTTTCTCTATTGGTTCCGCCCGGAATTAGAATGTTGTTCTATTGTTCTTCGGCGCAACCACGATGCATATTCATCGACGATGGCTGTGGCGATGCTACCTTCCGTCCCGAATAGCTGTGTTAGTCGAAAGAAAGAAAGAAAAAAATAAATAAACTGTCGACCGTGTCGCACACAATTCACCTCGAAACAGACAAATATATATATATATATGTATATATATATTTATATAAATAATATACGATCCACGTGTGTGGCAATCGGAGAGGTGTGACACACAGAATGCCTACACCACCACGATATCGAAAACGAAAACTTGTATAATTGTACTGTCCAAAATAATAAACCGCTGCACGAGTGTGTTACGAGATAGCAAGATGGCAGCGGCCGATTTCGTTGCTCGTTAACGAACGAACGTTCTCTGGTAAGACGTAGAGAGACACGAAATCTTTACGCACTAGCTAGCTCGCTGCACACGCACGCCATCACAGTGTTTTGATCGCATGCGAGGGCCCGGCTTCACAAAACGATATGTATATGTATATTCCTACTTCAATAATTTTAATGAACATCGCGCGGTTCACCGTGGCCCCACGGTAAATCTTCCAATTAAGCTCGCCAGAACGTTTTTCTGTTTTTTTTTTTTTTGGTTTTCCTGTTCACGCCCGCTTTTTAGTTTCCGCGCTTTCGGATCGTCGCTTCCAGCCGACTACGAGGAGGCAGAAAATAAAAAATAGGAATTTTATAACGCCTATCCTCTAATTGGGGAGATCAGCTTCGACAGACTTCGCTTCTTTTTTTGTTTGTCGCTGCGTATAATAACCCTGCAAGCAGGACAGGATTAAGACCTTTAAAGGTCCCAAACACTTAAAAAATTTTGGTGCCCCCATATAAATATCCTCAATATGGCTATATCGTGAGTTTATTCGTATTATATATTTTTAAACACACATGTTGAAATTGGTCCATAGTAAATCTAACAATGTGTCTAATAATCTGAAAATAACATACACATGCTTAACGGTTAATCCAGTCCTGCCTGCAAGCTGTAATCGGTTTTCTTCCTCTTCTCGCATCCAACGACGAATCTCTGCTTCAACGCTTTCCGCGGAAATCCGTGTGTACATATATACGAGAGATGAAACCATTCGCGAAAATACACGGACTTCCCGCCTGGTCGTGCCTACTAAGAGGATCGAACAGGAAAATCCGGGTCGCCTTTTGTTCCGAGTTGGTCGCGACAATGGTAATTGAACGTTCGAAGCCATTATCTTCCGTTGCTCCTCTCCAGCTTTCTTGAAGTCAGAGACGTCGAAAGAAAAAAAAAAAAAAACAAATGATACAGTAAATCCTCGATGAGTGTTCAAAGGCGCGACAGCACTGAACATTAAATATTTCATAAACTAATGATAATACGCGGTTGAAAAAAATATCATTAACTTCAGAATTCCACGCTCTATTAAACGACCAAAATGTCGAATAACCGATCAGGTGGGTAAACGGAGATGTCTCGAGTTAATTAACTGAACATTAAATATTTCATAAACTAATGATAATACGCGGTTGAAGAAAATATCATTAACTTCAGAATTCCACGCTTTATTAAACGACCAAAATGTCGAATAACCGATCAGGTGGGTAAACGGAGATGTCTCGAGTTAATTCGGGGATCGGCCTTGAACGACCAATTAACAAACGTCGCGACCTACAGCTGCCCTATATGCAACAGGATGCACACGTATACCCGCCGCTCTTTCTCTCTGTCTAGCTGCATTTTGCTGTCGCCCGTCTGTATGCGCGCCGTTAATCAATAAGGACTCTCGCGGGGAGGGTAACGAGGTCCCCGAATTGGGAACACTTAAAGCCGCCGTTCCCAGGAACCCGCATACGTGACGCGGCGGAACGTCAGTAGCGGCACTTGACATTAAGAATCTCATTTGAAAATAATCCGAAGGCTCCCGCGCCGTTAGACCGACCTAGCTGTAGTAATCGTATTGATTAACGATAGAAACACCAATCTTATGGACAGACTTGTCGCCTGCATCCTGCTTTCGTTTCTGTCTTGCTGCTCCGCCCCATGGTAACGCTTCTCTCCATTGATCGCGCGACGTTACAACCGCAATAAACGCTCACATCCATTAATAACAATCTCTCCACACAATAACAAGTTGTGCACGGTCGCCCGAGAGAATCTCTGGCTGAATCACCACCACGAAAAACTCCCTCTCCCGAAAGCGAACATTTGCACCCTGGCATCGATCTTTCGCGATACAGTAAATCCTCGATGAGTGTTCGAAGGCTCCTGATAATTAAATATTTCATAAACCAATGGCCATATGGCCATATCTAAATCTCAATAAAAAGTTAGCGTTACTACTTGGAACCTCTCCTTGTCAGTGTTAAGAAGCCTTCGAACACTCATCGAGGATTTACTGTATTATATAGTCTCCGATTCACCGTACACACGCCCGAGTTCACGAACCAATCACCCTCGGTTAAAATCGTGTGCCAAAGAAGCATCGACTATTCGACGCCCCCAACCGTGAAATTATCGAGCTTTCCATTCTCATCGAACGGAGGATCATACACGATTCGCAAGATCCTCGCAGCCAGCCGTTTAGCGGCGAGACATCGTAGAGAAACGAGTGTCACGCTGGTATACTAGCCCCGAGCAGATGCAATTAGATTCCGTATGTTCTTGTATCGATTCTTTTTTTTTCTCGATTCTAGCGAATTGGCTCTAACGAGTTGAAGTAGCGAGGGGTCGGATTAGGGTATCGACGGTCCAACCTAACCCCACTTACTGAACTGTCCTCTTGTTTTCGATAGGTTCTCGTCGTCCTAGCTTATCCTCCATTCACAGTTCGACGTCGTCGGCGCGTAGCTACAGCGCCAGACGACTGGAGAAGGAACGAAACGAGAAGGAGCAACGACAGGCCCTACAAGAGCTACGGCTGGCTAAGCAACGGGAACAAGAGAAGCAACAACAACAGCAACAGCAAGTCGCGCCCACGCCCAGTCCCAGGACGCCGCACTCCACGGACGAGCTGCTGCCATCTGTGGAGGAAGGGAAAGAAGTGTTTTATAACGAGGTATCCGATTTGGAGACTGTTGAATCGGTCGCAACCGGAGCTGGATAAAATATCAAGAAAAACTAATTGAAATACTGCTTTAACCCTTTCAACGCCCAATCTGACATATACATCTAGAAAATCATATTTCCAGGGGCTTTGTCCTGCAAATACACGAGGTGCACCGATTGGGACCACTTTCGAGGTAACTAATCGCGAGAAATAATTATTTTTCCCCAGAAAAGGTGTTTGGGCATTGATTACTAAAGTACAGTACTAAACTATTCCTGCTAATAACTTTTTAATAAAATACGAGTGACTGCTAAAACTTGTTAGGAATTACTCAAAAGAGTGTCCTTAACATCATATGTCAAGGTCATCGGAACAGCATCCCCTAAACGTAACTGTTACCAAATACTATTTCACAAACTTTTTCCGAGAAGTAAAATATTTTATTTACAAAAGTATACACGTACGATTGAAAATAAAATAGAATACTAATATTTCATCCCAGCTCCGGTAAATTACACACGCGGGTGTATCGAAGGGGCTTCGACTGATCCAACGAATGTTCTCCAAATCAGCAGGTTCCGACCACGTCGGTCGCTACCGAAGAGACGCCGGCGAAGACAATGGCGATCACAAAGGCGGCAATCGCGACGACCAGCATGAACGCGAGCAGATACAGCGAGGCAACGCCGGTCACCACTTCGACAACGTCCATCTTCGAAACGAACATCGCGCCGCGAGCCACCGGTGACATTTTTCAAGTGTAGTTAACAGGGGGCGAGGGGGGTGGTTAGGATGGGAAAAGAGCCCGATCCAGGGAACTATTTATCCAGATTCTAATCAAGTGAAAGGCAGAGGTCATAACGTAGAACACGTAAACACACGGCACAATTCTAAACGAACGTAATTTTGTTATCGTCCTTAAACGGTTGAAGGATCCACGGGAGACTATTCAGATCGAAACGAAGCGTTCGATGGACAGAGACCGGAAGTCTCGCGCCGATTATTACGCCAGGCTTCGCACTAGCGATCGAAGACACGGACAGATCACAATCAGTCGGAATTTAAATTATATTTCTCTCATTGGTTTACGTGTAAAGCGGTAAAGACCGTTGTCCGAGTCGAAGTGGAAACGACCGTACCTTGATCCACTAGTGTGAATTCAGGCTTTACGGGAGATTGGAGGAGGATCGTTAAAGATGTTGTTTGGTCGAGCCACCCGCGAAGGCCTAGATGAATTATTTATTCGAAAAGATATATTTTTGAATATCTAGGTACCGGCTTGTATTGTACTTAGACGGAGAACGGATCTAGGGAACGATGTGTGCGTGTGTTGAGAAGAGGGACGTGCGTTCGGCTGTGAAAATATTTGCAAGATTCGGGATGCTTGGTACCTGAGACGAGAGTGATGGTAACCGACGTACAGTTAACAAGATGTTCGAATTTTTGTAGGATTCTTGGGTGGTTCCTTGCCTGGGAAAGTCGTGCACTCGAGATCGAAAATCGTGAACATGGTTAGATAATTGAAAGAAATCGCTTTGCGTTCTTGAAAATGTATTCGTTTGTTATAGCGACAATAACGTTCGAATTGTTACCGTGTGTCGCTTTACGGGCAAGGATCGACGGGAGGCGATAAAAAGCACCGAATCGGTTATTCCGAATAATTTTTTTATAGCTTGAATTTTTTAAGCGTTCACGAATATCATTGGTTCGAAGGTGTAATTTTGTATTTGATGAATCCAGGATCGATCGAACACGAATCGAACCGTTACCGATTTACACTTCGAACAGCATTACCGTTTATGTATTTACATATCAGTCATATAGGAGATTTTCCTTTCACGTATCAACGATCGTTTCTTCGAAAAGAGAACAGAACAGGGCTTCGTTGTGTATTTCTATATTAGTTGAACGACTAACGTGCAAACACTTAGATATTTGTGATTCGAACGCACAGCGGTATTTGCGTTCAAGGGGACATTTTACACTGATTTCGGAGTCGCGACTGTACACGGTAATTTATGTCAAAACAATCCACGGTCAAACTGTTCACTGAAATTTAATCACATATCAACAACAGATTGAAAAAAAAACGTTCGAACCACGGGGGGAACAGATTCGATCCGGCTTGCAAGAGAGGAATCGAACGTGGTTATTCAGTTGGTGGCGTCTAATAACGATACGATTCTAACGAATCCACGATCGAGAAAAAACATACACACGCGTACACAAAGAGTGAGAGATAACACGCATAGTGGCATTAAATAGAAAACAAAAGCTGCGGAGTTATTCCTAAAGAGACACACGTGGTTATATATTTTACGCCAAAAATTTATCCGAACATCGCTGGGACGTACTCTAACGTGAAACGACGAAAAAGATAAATGAAGAAGCACACACCCTATATTAAAATATACAATTCCGTCTTGCGCGAAGGATATCGACGCGTTCGATCGTTTCGTTTGCTCGAACGGATACTCGGTGCTCTAGAAAAGCAATTGGCAGGGCATTCTCGAGTGGGTCGAGGCTAAACATACCTCTAATCGTAGATAAATTAATTAAAACCGAGAGAAACGGCGACAGAATATCGAACCGGTGGCATCGACGCGTCGTAAACAAGATGGCGGCGCGTCAATCGGCGTCCCGAGAATCGTGCAATAAAAAGAAAAACCTTCCAACATTATCATTCGATTTTTCTATCAGTATTAACGATCCATTTAACAGATAAATTTCTCCTCGATTATGTTTCCCCTATGAATTATACAAACAATTGGTAGGATCATTCGACGAAATTTGAGTATCCCGTGGTAATTACGAAATTAAATATTACTTTCGTAGCGAGTGTACGAGAGAGTATTCGAAGGTTTTACGAGCACCGGTCACGAATAGTCGCGGGAACAAGCTCGATTCATTCGGAAGGTTTTAATAATCGTAAAAAACGAAGCTCATGGCGCTCTCGAATTGTGTTTTCATGTTTCGCGAATGTCTCGGGATCGCCTCGGCGAATCGTAGTGGTAAAAATCGTTGAGGAGAAATAAAATGAAATTATACATATACATTATACATATACGTGTGAAAACAAAGTGCGTAAGAAGCGATCACCACGCGACGGGAGGCTGCGCTTACCCCCATTTCGCAATGGGACGCGAAACAAGTGATTCCCTGTCGACCAGGCGAGAGCAAACAAACGTGTATCGACGTCTAGTGTTCGAATAATTACGCTGCCTTTCCCGATTAAATAATTAAACGAAAAAAAAAAGAAGAAGAAAAGAAAGAGAGGACACACACGGACGAGCAAGACGAGACAGACAGTGAAACACACGTGGTCAACGGAGACAAAACATCGTCGCGAGTCAAGCAATTATTCAAACTGCGAATCTCGTCTTTATCCAGTTACACGCGAGCCGGACATACACGCAGAAACGAAAGAAAAAAAAAACACACAAAAAAAAAAGACACGCACGTTCGGCGACGATCACACACGCCCGCCGATCGCGAGCCGATTCGATCGATCGCCGTCGAACGGTCTCTTATATCGCTGCTAAGGAAGCAGAGTGTATTAGCAAAGAATTCTATCGCCACAGCCCGCATAAATATTAATCCGAACTGCTCGACTCGACCCGCCGCCTGATTTATAAACCAAAGAGATAAGACATAAGAAAAAAAAAAAAAAAGAGATGAAGATAATTTGAAGAATTATAAGAGAAAAATGGTCGATGTTCAGCGTTATCGTTTTATCCCAATTTTAAATGTTTACTGTATGATAACATTGTAATATAGTCGTTGGGCAAATAAAGCTCGTTTTTCGATATATACAATATAGATCGCGAAGACACTAGCAGGATCACCCCTTTAGCATCCCCCTTTTCCGTGCTTATCGACGCCAGATCTAGGTAAAACGCCTCCGTCCAACGTCCCATAAATTGCAGGTAGTTTCGTTAATTTTTCATGGTGTCCCCGTATCCTGGTGATCTAAAAATCCACCAACGAGCAACGTTGGGTTACGTGTTCCACGGCAGACGGTTCCACGCTGCCCTACAGGCAACACCAGTTCGAACATCGGATGTTGCAGAGCGTGAATTCGATCGATCATGGAGGAAGAAATCACTGTAGAAATGGAGAACAACCCATCGAGACCGGAACGTACATTACGGCCAATAGTGTACGCTTCTTGGTTCCTTGGTGTCGGTGTCGCCCGTCCAAGTAAGTGTCCGAAACCGATCACCGTGATCCTTCGACTGTTCCATTTCGGTGTCTGCACGGTGATCGTCGCGTTCAGCGCGATGGACTTCGCGAACTTCGGCAAAGAGTTCACCAGCAAGCTTTTCGAGATCATGTACTGCATGAACGAGACTGTCTGCCACGTATCCTCTTATTATTACGTCTATCACGTGATGCGACACTACGACAAGTGGCCGGAATTAATGAGGATGATGGAGTCGTTGGACGATCACATCGGGAAAGAACTACCGATTAACGACAACGGTGTCAAAATCAGACAGATCCTAGCTATCCTAACGGTCTGTCTATTCGGCCCTGTATCCCTAACTGTTCACGTTCTCTACTATTTCTTCACCGATCCGGAACAGATCTTCGCGTCCGATCTGCTGCTCTATTACACGATCGCCCAGACGTTGGCGAACAGTTTCGTCTACGACATCGTTGTGTACATGATCTGTTTGAGATTCAGAACCATCAACGAGACGATCAAGGGGTTGGACGAACGATCGGGGGCCTACTGGGCTGCCCTGAAGATCAGGAGGATCAGGAAGCTGCACAATGGCACGTAGATATATGTTGTCACGTAGATAATGGACTGTTGTCGGAATCCTGGATTACTGAAATATCCTGTGACTTACGTTATTACTAAAAATTCGTAAAATTTCTGACAGAAAGAAAAATATATTTTAGAAAAATAGTTTTATGAAGGCAAAAACCCATATATATTTATATTAATTAAACTTAAAAATAATGAAAAATTAGGACAGTAATTGTTCAATATAACCTGACACGTGTTAACGACGATGACGTGCCGATTTCTCAGAATCGTGAATTCAAGGTTGTAATTTTTACAATAGTTTAGTGATCCAGGGTATTAGAGTATTAGCGCGAAATTTTAATAATTTACAGTCTCTTGACTTCTATATCGTTCAATGAATTATAGAGGACCTGTCCCAATGCTCGCTCTGACCTTAAGACCGACCGGCCATTTTCTATACATTAAAATCTTATCAGTTCGAGGGATTTTTTGAACATGTTCCTTTTTTGTTTATTCCTTGCAGAGGCGTGTACCGTAATAATGACAGTGAACGACATTTACGGTGTGGACATGTTACTATGCTCGACGAACTCGTTCATAATGGTGGTCGCGAAGCTCTTCAGGATCTACATGAGCGCGGCAGAACAGAAAAACGGATTTATATTTCTGAACAACGTGATCTGGATGATCTACGGGTGGCAGTTCATAGTTATGTGTTGGGTCTGCACGCTGACGCATCGGGAAATAAATAAAATCGGACCGTACATCGGTGAATTCGTGCTGAACGCCCAACACTCGACGAAATTTAACAAGATGGCCGCGTTTAGAAAGTTCCGTTACAAGGGAGGAACACCGTTGAACATCTGCGAGGATCAATCCGCCATGAACCTGAACGGTTTCGGGATGGAAAGTCTGCTGCGTACAAATTTCGAGCGTGATTGCGTTCGAAACGAGGCGAACGATTTCTCGTTACAGTTGCAACAGCATCGCGTCAAGTTCACCGCTTGCGATTTCTTCGAAATGGACAACTCCCTGCTGACAAGAGTGAGTCGAGAAATTCATTCACTCTGATCAGAGATGTTAACTGAATTTTTATATTTTTTTTTTCAGTTCATCAGCGTGATCACCACGTATTTGATCATTCTTGTACAGTTCTACAAACCGGATGGTCTGTAATCCAAGGCCAGTACGCTGTTACGAAAAGGAACATAGAGACAAAATATTTACTTGGTTACGGTTATCAAAATTCGGGTCAACTCAGGTAGCCTATCCCTTCCCTCTACGACGCTTTGTAGGTAAATGTTCAGTAGTTGTGCGACCTTCGTAAGAGAACGACGTTGTCAAGTGTGAGTGCTTTGTGCAAGACACGTTTTTAAGCAGTATAAGAACGTTTGGGGAACACGAATATATTAATAGGAAATGGGAAAATGTGATTTCTTTTGAGTGCGAATTTCTATTAATCGTGTGTGGTGAACTTCGTCAAACGGATTACTTGAAGAAACTGTGAAATAGCCTGCAAAGATGGGTGTGCTTTTGAGAGTGCTTTTCCAAATAGGGATTCGGGACTTCATCGCCATTTATGAATAATTTTAACGCAATCCAAAATGGTAGAGGAAAGTAGCCACATATGGAATATAGCACTTATACCTAATATGGAATAGTGGTGGATCTTTTTATTGGAATACGAAAGTTGCTGGAACTATGAACACATTGACAGGATAATAATATAAATGGAACTTCGAAACTTGTCTAAGTTTGACAACCTAACCCAGAGCTAACCCAATAAACATACGTCAGTTAACATAAGCTTCGTGTGATCAATATGTTCACGGAGAAACTGAGAAGCGTCAGTCCGAATTCGACTGTTGTACGAGCAACAGCACTAGAGGATCAAATTTCAAGCGTATGTAGCCTCAAGTCAATTCACTATTGTTCACTTTGTTGTCACTCAGATGTATTTAATTAAAACAGATTAAATCTGGTAGAAGAATCTGCAATTCATTACTCACATCTATCGTATGTCCCCAGGAATTACAATTTCGGCGACAAACTTATGAAACCATTATGCAGCTTCGAAGATCGTACGAAAGAGTTACAAGTCACAGAAGAGGGAATTATTACTTGCGGTGGATAAATTACAATATTTTACAAGTCTGAATAACATTTAAGCCTCGTTTTACTTAATTTATGCACATATTGTTATAAATGTATTGTAAAATCGTATACATAAGTAGTATTTAAGGCAATTGCTGTGAAATTTATTCAAATACTATTGTAAATTGTGTATTTTCTTCAGATTTTTTTCAACAAAAAACATTTTAATGGTACATATGTGTTTATTAAGCCTGCACACTACCACTATCCCATATTTCCCATAAATAAATAAATAGTAACTGGTAAACTGAGTTACAATAATTTAAGTTAAACCCAGAACTTTTTGGTTAGTTCGCAAAGTCGCCACCAGATGGCGCTGCTTAAAAAGTTTTAGAATTAGTTCCAACTTTCGCCACCCACTGTTTGTGGGGGCGCCACCGTACTGCAGGGTTTTCCGCCATCTTGGATTTTGAAAAAGCGCGGGAAAATTTGGGATTCATGGGACATTCTAGTGGCGCCCCCCAAAAAACGGGTGGCGAAAGTTGGAACTAAATCCAGAACTTCTTCGATAGTTCGCACAGTCGCCACCAGATGGCGCTGCTTAAAAGTTTTGAAATTAGTTCCAACTTTCGCCACCCACTGTTTGTGGGGGCGCCACCGTACTGCAGGTTTTCCGCCATCTTGGATTTTGAAAAAGCGCGGGAAAATTTGGGATTCATGGGACATACTAGTGGCGCCCCCAAAAAAGCGGGTGGCGAAAGTTGGAACTAAATCCAGAACTTCTTCGATAGTTCGCACAGTCGCCACCAGATGGCGCTGCTTAAAAAGTTTTAGAATTAGTTCCAACTTTCGCCACCCACTGTTTGTGGGGGCGCCACCGTACTGCAGGTTTTTCCGCCATCTTGGATTTTGAAAAAGCGCGGGAAAAATTGGGATTCATGGGACATACTAGTGGCGCCCCCAAAAACCGGGTGGCGAAAGTTGGAACTAAATCCAGAACTTCTTCGATAGTTCGCAAAGTCGCCACCAGATGGCGGCGTGGTATTGATTTTGCAGTTTCCCGCGCTTTTTTTTGCTATTTATTGTTTCATATCATTTTGTTGGTAAATTGAAATTAGGAATAGAAGAGACAGTGCTGGGATTAATGAATAAACGCATATGTATGATTTAACTATTCTTTATTGAGAAAATCGTAAAAAAATATACAATTTACAATTGTATTTGTATAAATTTAACAAGAATTGTCTTAAATACTACTTATATATTTGTATGTATATTATGTATATTTCTGCTTACTCCTCTATCTCCTCCGATTCCCTCCAACCCCACAGCCCAGCCATATAAGCTACTCCCTTTCACCTAATCCCCATTCTACTCTCTCTCTCTCTTTCTCTCTCTCGTAGTTGCACGCCTTCGAAGTCCGCTGTAACATGCAGTTACAAAATAAATGCAAAATTCGCAGCCATTAGCTCGATGTTGTCTTCGGTTTACAATACTTTACCGATGTTAATACCGATTGCCTGAGCCTCATCACGAGGAGGTTGCTGCGAGTGGAAGTCCAAGACAGGTAGATGGAATCACAAGTTCTGCACTTATCCACATTCCACGATAAACCTTATAAATAACTTAAATCTTAATTATCTAATACCTAAACCAATAAAAAACTAACTTCCCTGTCGGACGTCTTCGTTCTTCAGCTTAGGACTAATATTATCTGACTAATATTATTGACTCTACTATTTAATATAACCTTTATACTCTAATGCTATCAATACACCCAACCGCCTCGACAGCTCACGAGAGACTGAAAATTTTCGACTGCTGCGTGGTTGCTTGTAGAATCTAGGGAGTGGGGATGTCGAATTGCGGAAGGTGGTCGACCTTTTCAGGTATCAGACGTACCTAACTGCAATAAGCTCGCGTCACTTTGTTTTCTCACAGACAGAATTGAAATGTTTTTGCCCGCTAAGACTTCCTTGAAGAATCTTTACGTACTTTATCGGTATTATTGAGCGTGACATTACAGGCCAACTGGAGCAACTTTTGTACGCGATATCAGATGGACAACGGCGTGCAGTGTGCAAGGGTATAGAGAATTATTGCAGTACGTGCAATAGGGAGAACGGATCTAAAGCTAAAGTCAATCTAGCCAGTATTTTTATAACAAAATAATAACTTTATATTGTGCCTTACAAGAAAAATAAAGTCTCTAATCTCACTATTAGATTATAATACATAGGAATAACGAACGAGAACGTGGCGATACATTAATAAATAAATGGAACATGAAGGAATAACAATCAGTGTGCTTTGTGGGATGAGTCTTAATCTACTTCTTCGATGGTTGGTCCAGCGCTGCCGCCAGTGGTAGTGCCACCACCTGGTGCCCCACCAGGGAAACCTCCTGCGCCAGGTACACCACCTTGGTATAGTTTGGTCACGATAGGATTGCAAATGGATTCCAGCTCCTTCTGTTTATCAACGAACTCCTCCTTGTCCGCCAACTGATTCGCATCCAACCAGGAGACCACCTCGTTACACTTGTCGAGCACCTTCTGTTTGTCCGACGAGTCGATCTTGTCCTTGATCTTCTCGTCCTCCATGGTGCTCTTCATGTTGAAGCAGTACGACTCGAGAGCGTTCTTCGCGGCGATTCTCTCGCGTTGTACCTCGTCCTCGTTACGATACTTGTCCGCCTCGTTCACCATCCTCTCGATATCGTCCTTCGATAATCGACCTTTATCGTTCGTGATAGTGATCTTGTTCTCCTTTCCGGTCGTCTTCTCGATCGCGGAAACGTTCAGGATACCTGAAACGGTAACGAATTATTTCATTAGACATCGCACACGACTTCACACAGGAAGGATATACAAAACACAGTAAATCCTCGATGAACGTTCGGCTGATTCTTTACTGAGGCTTAACACAGCGATAGAGTTTGGAATTCTGAAGCCTATGATATTTGTTTCAGCCTCATATGGCCATTAATTTATGAAACATTTAATGTTCAGTTCCCAGGAGCCTTCGAACACTCATCGAGAATTTACTGTATCAAGACTCGGTGTTAGAGTTATACATACCGTTAGCGTCGATGTCGAACGTGACTTCGATCTGAGGTACACCCCTAGGCGCAGGCGGTATACCGATCAGCTCGAACCTGCCAAGGCTGTTGTTGTCCTTGGTCATCGCTCTTTCTCCTTCGTATACTTGAATAAGGACACCCGGTTGATTGTCCGAATACGTGGTGAATGTTTGCGTCTGTTTGGTCGGTATCGTGGTGTTCCTCTTTATCAGCGTGGTCATCACGCCGCCGGCAGTCTCGATACCAAGCGATAGAGGCGTGACGTCTAACAGCAACAAATCCTGAACAGCCTCGTCGGGATTGATGGATTTGTTCAACTCTTTACCGTTGAAAAAATCTTGAAGTAACTTCTGTATTTTTGGTATTCTGGTGGATCCACCGACTAGAACGATACTGTGAACTTGCCCCTTGTCCATCTTGGCGTCCCTAAGGGCCTTCTCGACCGGCTCCAAGGTGCTTCTGAACAGGTCAGCGCATAGCTCCTCGAATCTGGCCCTCGTGATGGAGGTGTAGAAGTCAATTCCTTCGTACAGAGAGTCGATTTCTATGCTGGCTTGCGTCGAAGAACTCAATGTTCTCTTTGCTCTCTCGCAGGCTGTTCTCAGCCGTCTCAGGGCTCTCTTGTTGTCGCTCATGTCTTTCTTGTATTTCCTCTTGAACTCCTGCACGAAATGATTCACCATACGATTGTCGAAGTCCTCGCCACCTAGATGAGTGTCGCCGGCCGTCGATTTCACTTCGAAGATACCGTCTTCGATCGTCAGAATGGACACGTCGAATGTGCCACCGCCGAGATCGAAGATCAGCACGTTCTTCTCGGCGGCAGTCTTTGTGTCCAAACCGTAGGCGATCGCAGCCGCTGTCGGTTCGTTTATGATCCTCAATACGTTCAGGCCTGCTATCACGCCGGCGTCTTTCGTTGCTTGTCTTTGTGAATCGTTAAAATACGCCGGTACAGTAATGACAGCGTCGACCACTGTCTTTCCTAAATACGCCTCCGCGGTTTCCTTCATCTTCGTCAGCACCATCGAGGACACTTCCTCCGGGAAGAATGTCTTCGTCTCGTCTTTATACATAACCTTAATCTTCGGCTTACCATCGTCGTTCACCACCGTGAACGGCCAATACTTCATGTCCTGATGAACCGTTGGATCATCGAAACGACGACCGATCAACCTCTTCGCATCTGTAACGATTCAAACATGAGACATAAATGAGGATATTATCACTAGAATTATAGATAACTGAATTTATACTAAATTAAATTGCATAATACATGAATGTTTATTGTATACATTATAGTGTATTGTATAATACAGTATAATGTGATTTATAATAATAAATTATAGGTCCACCTGAGTACCCAATAAAGAACCTTGATAATTTTAATAATTGTAAAATAACAAATCCCAATTCCATCATTATTAAAGGATATCGATAGACTTTTGTCCTCATATCAACTTAAATGAAATTCATCTTTACATGTACAATATTCATACAGAGGTTTATGTAAGAAGTAATATCGTACGGGCACAATTATGAGGTTACGCGCATCTAATGACGATCGTGCAACGTGCGAAATAAACTTGGAACGCTGTAACACTTGGCACGAGAGAGGGAATCGCTGTTCGCCGACTGTCATCGTAACAGAAGCGAAACAAAGGCGTGTGTATCGTGAATGATAGTTGTCGAAGATCAGTAACGAACTCGATTGTATAAAATGCAGTCGCAGCCGTGTCTGCGAGTACGGTTTAATTAAATCATTCATAGATTCAGAAATAAGAATGACCGTCTGATTATAAATTAGATCGACGTATTATGTAATCAAAAATGCCAGGAAGAAAATAAGTATGCAAAGATTAAGTTCAATGTATCGATCGTGACAGTATATATCGAAGCAGATCATGAAGTCGATGGAGGATGGATAAAAAAAAAAAATTTTGTTGGAAAATTAATTTGATATCGCTTACCAAAAATGGTGTTGTTCGGATTCATCGCGACCTGGTTTTTGGCCGCGTCACCGATGAGTCTTTCGGTGTCCGTGAAGGCCACATAACTCGGTGTCGTTCGGTTTCCTTGATCGTTGGCAATGATCTCAACTTTTCCATGCTGGAAGACACCAACGCACGAATACGTGGTGCCCAAATCGATTCCAACTGCTGGTGCTTTCGACATGTTTTTATCGCTGTAAACGAAAGAAAAAAAGGAGTTAAAAATCATGCACCATTAAGAATATGTATTTTCTATGTATTCTTTAAAGAAAATGTGTAATTATTAAGAATCTTCGCGAGAACCTCTGACATCCGACTATATTTATACCTCGTGACAGGCTGAGTCATACGGACGCAATAAATCGCTCAAATAATCGCACTCGCCGGCTTTTTCGATCATTTTTATCAATACATTTCGCGAATACTTTCATTGCGTAACCGTAATCATAAATTTTTTGCTCAATTTTCAACCTCGTTGCACATACACAAATTTAAAGTAACGACGCAATAAGCGATAACGCAACAGTCACGAATTGTTTACGAGGATTGTCGACTGCGACGACTGTAAATGATGTTTGTAATCAGTTTAAATCGTACAGGTGACATTCAATTCTATTCATAGTATAATCAATTCATAAAAATACTATGAACTCGAATGACGATAGCGAACTGCGACGCAAATTGTCGTGTGAAATATCGAGCGTCGAAATTACGTTTCGCGGTAAATTACATAAATCAATACAACCGCAACAAAATATAGTGATACTTGGAAGGTAATACATAAGCCGTGAAGGTCAAGCAAAATTTGCCTACAATTTAATATGGAACTTTACAGACCGATTTACAGAACCTAAGATCGAATAAAAATTTGTACGAGCTTCTAAATAAAATAAGTACCTCAAATTCCATTTAAAGTTTTACTAAACCATCTAATAAACAATCATCTATGTATTATAAAAGTATAAAAACCGTAGGCGTGGTTTTAAACTAAATGACGCAACACCATTGCAACAACGAAAATTCAGAAACAGGAGAAGACGTTCCAATAAAAATTTTTTAATAACAAATATAGGATCCAAAAACACTGTTGTTGATTATTTATCGACCAAAAATACCACTTATGCAATAAAGTTACATTTCAGTTTGAATATTAGCTATAAAAATAATTTCACAAAATGGAATTAACTTTTGAAAATGAAGACAGATGTACTCACTTTTTGTATTCGTTCGCTTTTCGTTCGTCTCGTTCAGTCGTAGTATTATCGCCGGTAGCGCGATCACGATGTTCACGTGTCGGTTGTGAAATTCCAACTGAGCGGGAGGCGGCGCGACTGCTCCTTTAATAGTTCATATTTCGCGCTTCGAGAAACTTCGGCCCAACGACCTATGGCGCGCCAGCTCTGTAATGCGACGCTGCGCACCGAATGGCTCAGAAAGATCTCGTAGGATCCAGAACAAGGAGAAACACAACGAAGTTAGGCGCTACGCGTTAGCGAAAGTGAGAGAAAACTATGGACGAAGGAATATACAAGAAGGTGCTGGAAGGCGTTGTATTCACGTTCGCAAGTTATAATTAGCACAACTGACAATTTTCTTGTTTGCGTGACAATCGACCGGTCAAAATTATGTACTCGAATAATATCAGACGTACTATAGCGTTAATCATTATTTGCAGAAAATGAATATATATAGTGATCACTTCAACAGTGAATCATCTTGTTTGCTCAAAAATAACTTTAAAAGAGCTCTGTAAATCATTTTGTCGCCTTTTTTTAACTGTTTCAATTTGATAGTTGTATTATGTATAACTTAATTTTGCAATTTAATGAGCTGTTTGTTCACTGCCATTTTGATTATGTAGATTATAAGGATTATAATCAGATCGATAAATGAGTTAAAGAAGCTATTTTGTTTACAGTAAGAGTATGTTTAATATACTATAACATTGAAAATAGTATGAATTATCGAGTTTTATAGGTTTTAATTCAATCATTTGTCTATCGAACGATTCCAGGTAGTTCGATGATTGTGCAAAAATAATCAGCAACAAACATATACGTCGCGTTTCGAAGCAACTTTGTATTTTACATTGACCATACGCCTTAATTTAAGAAAAATCAACTTTCTGTTAGTGAATGAGTGCAAACGTTTTTGTAGCTGACTATTACATCATATGAGACGTAGTATTAAAAACATGATAATAAACTAATAAAAATAACTCTGACCAGGCGGTGATTATTGCCAATTCGAACAACAGCGTCGACATAAACCGAAAATGAATTTTAAAACCCGTACTTCCTCGAATTATCTATCTACGCAACAAATTTTCCCTTTGCAATCGATTATCGTCAGCCGAATAATTGCCCCTCTAGAAGAGAAAATGACGTAAATTCTGATGAAATATTGTGTCTGATGAGATCATATTATTTGTTGAATTCTCCTGAGTCGATATTCTAATGATTTTAATCACTACTTGACATTTTATACGTGAAAGAAAAATGTAAATAAAAAAGAACTTTAACAACCATCTACCACAAGGAGCCCAAGCTACTAAACAATTAGTAAAGGCTCTTACTGCTAGATGGCGATTGGTGTCTTCGTCTAGTGGTAGAAGGGTTGAACCACCGACTAGGTGTAGGATAGACCGTAAAAAGTCAGGGATTTTCAGGATTGAAAGGACCAAATTGGGAGCAATTTTTTAAGATATAAATCGTTAAGGTACGTTAACATTCGGCGCCAACTACTTTCCGGTGTAATTAATCGCTCAAAATAATCGTCGTCGGTCTCAAATTATTCCTGACGCCTAAATGTATGGACCCAATAGTGCAGAACCCCTGAATTAGTAAAATTAGTTATCCCTGTATTACCGTAGCCCCTTATAGGGTGGCAACCCTACTTGCAACAGATTTCGATTACATTTACACCGCTGAACAGACATCATTTTTCCTCGTCACACGTTAAATTCGAAGTTTAAAGAACGTAGAATAATACTCTCTAACGGTTGGGAACCAGTAATTACAAGAACATTGTTAAAATCACATTTATTTGCAACGGTTGACACTGTATTACGTCATGCGTACCCTGGTTAGTTCACTTTAGACAGCTCCTACACCGTTATACGGACAGATTTCGTTTAGATAAAGCACTCGATTTGTAGCTGAAAGTACGTAGATTAATCCACTGTTATTGATAATAACAATAAACGACCAGAACACTGTTAAAATCGCATTTAATTGCAGAATACCACTATTTTTGAACGGTGGCGCCACCCGTGGCCAGTCGCTGAAACTTCTAGCCATATAATTGGCTAACAGTTTCAGCGATTCGCCACGGATGGCGCCACAGGTAGATATCTCAGTAATTAGGCGCTGAAAATGAACGCCGTTAATCTCAAATTATTCCTGAGGACTTAATGCATCAACCCAATACTGCAACACCTCAGAATTCGTCAAATTAATTATGCCTGCAATACCGAAGCTACCTCATGGAGCGGCAACCCTCATTAGATCGCATTTACATCGCTGAACGGGCATCATTTGTCCTCGTCATGCATTAGATTGGAAATTTAAAGAATGTACATTAGTACTTTCTAGCGGCTGGGAACTAGTAATTACAAGAACATTGTTAAAATCTCAATTGTTTGCAACGGTTGACACTGTATCTTGTCATGCATACCCCGGTTAGTTCACTTTGCACAGTTCTTACATCGTTCTACCGACAGATTTCCTTTAGATAAAGCACTCCATTTGTAGCTGAAAGTACGTAGATTAATCCACTGTTATTGATAATAACAATAAACGACCAGAACACTGTTAAAATCGCATTTAATTGCGGAATACCACTATTTTTGAACGGTGGCGCCACCCGTGGCCAGTCGTTGAAACTGCTAGCCATATAATTAGCTAACAGTTTCAGCGATTCGCCACGGATGGCGCTACCGGTCAAAAAAATAGTGGTATTCCGCAATTAAATGCGATTTTAACAGTGTTCTGGTCGCTTATTGTTATAAGAATACCACTATTTTTGAACGGTGGCGCCACCCGTGGCCAGTCGCTGAAACTTCTAGCCATATAATTGGCTAACAGTTTCAGCGATTCGCCACGGATGGCGCCACAGGTCAAAAAAAATAGTGGTATTCCGCAATTAAATGCGATTTTTACAGTGTTCTGGTCGCTTATTGTTATTATCAATAACAGTGGATTAATCTACGTACTTTCAGCTACAAATGGAGTGCTTTATCTAAAGGAAATCTGTCCGTAGAACGATGTAAGAGCTGTGCAAAGTGAACTAACCGGGGTACGCATGACAAGATACAGTGTCAACCGTTGCAAACAATTGAGATTTTAACAATGTTCTTGTAATTACTGGTTCCCACCTGCCAGACAGTACTAATCTGCGTTCTTTAAACTTCGAATGTAATCCATGACTAGGAAAACTGATGCTTTATCGGTAACGTCGGGTATTGACATTAAAATGGGAAGGGGCTTCTGAAGCCCTCAAAGCATGGGACAGAAAATTACATTGCTTATTAGGTCTATTCTTATATCTCGTCTGTGATTGAACTAATTGGCTAGTAACTTCAGTATTTTTTCACAGAGGGCGCCACAAATCTATTCGAACACGTTCAATCTTAATGCAAAATACTACAGCTGATAGTTATTTATAAACATATTGCTCAGAGGTATTTTACGAACATTCTAACACTGAAAAATGTTTAATTATAATATGTGTTCTCGTTTTCTTTGTATCTTTCAAATTGCTGTATGTACCATTAAATACCACAGTATAAGAAAATGCTTCCATTTCGACTGGTAGATCTCGCCAGAGGGTGTTGAACAACTATTTCAACTTTCGGTATATTTCTCTGTAGATATGTAATCCCAGACTTTCAGCGAGGATCGTTTAACTTTCTCGAGTTCAGTAGTAAGCAAAATGGCGTCAGTGTGGATGGTGATGTCTTTGGCGTTTTCGTTACTCCTAACACCGTTTCTTATGTTTTTGCTTGCCATTATATTTCTGGCCTCAATCGGAAAGTCACTCGGCGTTAGAAGGCTCTACATAAAACTGCTGTTGGCACTTTTCGAGGTAAGACAATTCTCATGAACGAACAATTACGTCCTCTAATTGTTATGCTGTGCGAAGTAATTTTGAAAATCGTGAATTGAATCGAGGATACCTATCCGTTTAATGATATGCCGTAAAATAAGTGCGCTGATGACGTATCGTTGTCTATACAATTGAGCGAGTTCTATCGTTTTCTGACATTATATCGTTCGCAATGGAACTCGTCATCAAGAACACGTGTTACATATAAAAATAGTTTTACGAAAGCGTCACATCCAAAGAAATTTCGGCGAGATGCTTCAAACTTCATTCGTATAGTTCGATGGATTTAAATTTCAATTAGATGTTACAATTCACGTCAGATTTCAAACCTTTTTCTCGAACAGTTTAGTACCTATTAAATGATTCTGACAATTCTGTTTACACGTCGATGATAGTATTCCATCAGTTACGTTCCGATGTGCCGATCAATGAAACACACGTATCATACTCAGACCATCCTTACTTTACTTGCTACATATTTACCGATCAACAAGTATCTATAATTTATTTTATATTTTTAAATGACGAAAAAACATTATATTCCTTTACCTGAAGGTAAGGAGGGACTTCCATCGTGCATATTTTAAGACAAACGACCCTCCTAAATAAGAGAGCGTGTTGGAAGTGGATTCAAAGACCACGTTCATCCTTGACAGTGAACGCAGATGACACAGTCATGAAGCAACTTCTTTAACGTACAAAAAATGATTAGTAACATTGACTCTTTTAACAAAAATCAGCATCAGAAAAGAATTTATTTCATCTATTAATGGATTTACGAAGTTAACATAGAAACTACATAAATTTATATCATTTTTTGTTTAATTATGCTCCACACATTTGCATATATATAGAGTCTAATGATCAGAAATTTATCTTATCGAAGTCGTTAATGGAACTTATGGACGACCGAAAAAAGAGATTTTCCAGGAATTATCATTTCAAAAATTATAGACTCGACCAGTTTTAAATTTTGAACAGTGTACATAAAAAAATGTTGTAATATAAATTGTTTCTAAGGTTACTTTCTTCTAACGGAGTCTACGTTAACAGATGATAATTATCGTATTAATATTTTTAATTCTATTAATGCTATAGAAAAATCCAAATTTTTCGGTAGGAATGATAATGAAGGTGGGATATGATCATGGACTTTACAATATATTCAAATGAATCATATTGTCTCGAGTATCTCCGGGAAGCTCTGTCTGCTCCATTTGAACGACAGATTTTTTTATAGCATTAATTGCGACCTTTCTGATAAAGATAAGAAGCAGCAGAATTTTTATATCGTTCGTTCTCGATCATCTTGCCATTCGAATGTCTGGAATTCGTTTCAGTTATAGGAAACTTTACGGACGTTGACACCAATTATCTAGATAAATGACGAAGAATGCATTATACGTCTGAAATTATAAAAATGACAGGATCTACAATTCCGAATGAATAGAAAGTCCAGATATGTGACACGTGCAAATATTGATACGGCGTTCACGTATTTATTACCTTATTGGAGAGAGTGGAGTGTCAACGGTTCTAGCCGGCGTACACGGAAATATTAAATTGGAATTAATTTGAGGGTACTTTGGCGAACCCACGACGGCATTATGTTACACGTAACAAGTCCGTATTGATTTAGAGCCGTCAACAGTGTAGTGTCAGGCTCTCTTGCCATTTGTATAATTACTGTACGAAATTCAGTGGGAGGTGTTGCTAAAATCGTTAGCGTACGCGTACCCTAAGCTTCCACGGGGTGGGTTTCGTGTGTCACATCCGGTGAACATGAAAAATCATCGGTGCAGTATTTGAAATTCGTGGCAATGTGTGACTCCCTCAGAATATCTACCACATGAATTGAATATTAATCGTGTTCAATCGAAGAATAAGAAAGCAGGATGCGCGCGTTTTCGCAACAAATATGACGGTCGAAATTTCGAAACTGGATGCACTGAACTCTGAAATATTCTCAGCTTCGGCCACGTTCAAATTCTTTTTATCGTCGATTAGTCTATCAATTACGATTTTCATTTTGTGTTTAAGTGAATATGATAAATAATAAGGTGATTGTTCTAGCCACCATGCCGATCAATTAAACTTAAAGTTCCGGGTAAGACGCTTTTATGTAATATAAATCTCGATAATTACGGGCCCGATAAGAGGACTCTGTTCCAAGCGGTTTTTCTCTAAATTATTAATCGACGACACTATCGCGGATCGTGCTAATTGTTTTATTAGCTGACACTCGACAAGGGAAAAATTATGAAGTTCGATAACCACCGTTCAAAGTTCATTATCGAAAATCTGAGGTTGCTGCAGAAGTTGCGGACCATCGTACGACTATGCATATCATTACGTTTCCCGAGCATTATTTTGAAAGGCAAATTCTCGTGATGAACAGCATTTCTCCGTTTTATTCCAAAATAAAATTATCTTGATCGGATTCAGGGAAGTCCATCTGATATAATGAATTCGGTTATAACCAGATCGATCTATTTTATCAAAATTACTATGGGCCGCGTTATCACTATGAATCCACAAGAATAATATTACAAAAATTCTAGAATAAACGTATGGTACCACTTACAAAAATATTGAAGACATCAAAATAAAAAGAAAAGAAAGAATTGTGAATTGTGGTCTCTCGAATAAGGAAAAATAATGCACAATTTCATGAGACCCAAGTAAACTATTATTTCATTCGTTGTTTTCAAAACAGTGTCATACCACTGACCATCTTTTTTTTTTTATTATTCGTTCGTTCCTATTCTTTTATGCAGTCCAGTAAGACCGTTAAGAAAAACATCGTATTCGAGTGGATGTTTGCTTTCGCCCGAATAGATTCACGCACCTTTAGCGATCATTCAGGAAACAGTTGATTGGTCCGCGTTCTGATAGCGACTACTTGGTATTTTCTGTCTCCGTTGGGTCGGCTAATCTTGCTAACGCAAAGAAGGTCGTTCACCGGATACAATACGATAATGTGCGTGTGGATATTTCGCTTTGTTCGGTCGGACAGTAAAGAACAGCAGGGGCCAGCAAAGCTCTAATTAACCTGTTAACTGGGGGAACGACAAGTCAGCTCGTCATACTATATTTTCCAATGGTTTTCAATTTTAACGTTCATTTACCTACGAACTCTTAAATGCCCCACTACAAGCTGGTTATTAAATGGTACTCACGAAATGTTTTTGTTCTTTTTCCGTTGCGCCTGTGACGAGTAAAAAAAGTTCTACAAGCTTCCCACTTAACAGCCTAATGTGTTGCGCAAACTATTTGAATAAATACATTCACGGAAACACGTGCTTCATTTGCGATTTAAATTGCCTTGTTCGTCGGGCAATATTGTGCGCGTAATTTAGAACACAGTAAAATTATGGAACTGATCTGGGCTGAACTTCGACGAGTTAATTGGATTCGAAAAAATTTATTCTTAACCCTCACGTTCCTTTGGGTCTCCAGCGACCAGTTAACCAACATACTCATCGAATTGTCCATACGTCGACGAAGTGAACTACGTTTTGTATTTATTCGTGAAATCTCATCACGGGTCACGATTTACCCAGCCGTCGGCTCTGACGATCCATGAATCACCTCGCTTTCGAATAGCAAAAACAGGACCGCGATCGCTTCCTTTTGCGATCTCAAATCGTGAATTCCGAGCGACGGAATTAATTTGCTGAATTTTGAAATATGACACACACGACGCACGTTTCACTTTCGAGGATGCTCACTTTTTTCCAGCAATTTCGCGGTGGTTGCGTCAGCAGGTTTCATATGGTAAACAAGGCCGTAGCGAGCTAAGCGCAGAGAGACTCCACGTATTGCGCTCGTTTGTCATAAAGTTCGTAGTAATGTTGTGTCGACGAAGGATCTGGAATTGAATCCGAAGTCGGAACGATCGTAAGGACGTGGAATCGTTAGCCTAGATTGTGTCTAATAACTCAAGATATATTATTCTAATTTCGTTGTGATTGTAGGTCTGAGAAGTAGGGGGATAAGTCCCTTAACTTCTGGTTTCGAAAGATAGCTGTATCTGGACTTTAGTACCATCCAATGTGACTTTCACGACTCGAAGGAATACACTGGTCCCAGGACTCGTAGGATCTCGAAAGATACTGTTCCTTGAATTCTCAAGACATCGAGGAATATATTGATCTCCTGGGCTTCCAGGTCTGCAAAATATACAGAACCAAAATTTACAAGTCTCCGAGGAACACTGATGCTAGAATTCCAAATGCATCGAATAAGGCCAATATTCGTTGACGATCTATGCTTCAAGAAACATCGATCCCAAGGACTTCCAACATTCCTAATGGGTTCAGATTTCTTCAAACTTCGAGAGAACAGTGTTTGGGGAAAGGGAATCCTACGATTCCCAGAAGCGCCCCCAAAATGGCCGTCCTTAAGATTTTCCGTGTCACTATATTAGGGATCCAGTCGGAGTTCGAGGAGTTGGGCAATTCGTCTGCCAATCACGCAAGATTTTTCGTCCAGTCACACGTTCCGGACGTGATCACGGGAATATCTCTGATGAATGAACAAAACCGTTCGTCTCTGTATGTATATGCTTGTAGGCATAGTACAAAGGTTGACTGTTGTTGCACCGTCGCGTGCGTTGATGAAGAAAAAGAACATCGCTTGGACGTGACATTATAACCGAAGGGAGATCGTTGGAACGCGAAGTACAAAGTCCACGACGTCCTCTTTTTCGTCGGGCTAGTTTGTCCGTTATCGTTGAACCAAATGTGGTTTTATCGGGCTTTGCAAAACCCACGATAGACAGAGCAACTGGTTAGTAGGAAGCACGTGTCGAACGAATGGTTTTTTTTATCTGAGCCCGACGCTTTTCATACCATCCACGAATTGAATTTTTTTGCGGGGACATCTTCTTTCAGGGAAGATAATTTCGGTATCTTCTTCATCGAGGTTACTCGGTGACCTTCGTTGTTGGCTGGGAAACTTCCGCCGCCGTTAGTCATTCGACTACAGCATGAACGTGGCCGGCAATCTCTGAGCTGGAAATTATTTTTTGTAATAAGAAGTAAGATAGATAAAGTTCATTCGCACTTTTGGCTCGAGAACGTTTACAGTATTGCATGAGTTAACTGTGTATTGGGTTGTAAGTATTCGGATATTCGAACTATAACGATTGAAAAGATTTTCACGATCAAGTGTGAACAATTATATTATGATCAGATTTCGATTCAGTGCAATCAAAAATTCGATCACTTCGAATATTTCGGAATATTCAATATTCGAATTCTACTGTATTCGAATTATTCCAAAATTCGTAAAAGCTCTAGTTTGAACAAGTTAGAATTACTTATTGCCTCTGCTATAAGTGCAAAATTAGAACATTAGAGAAACTATAATATTCATAAATAATTTTGGGAAGATTTACCATAACAACGTAAATATTTTTTTTTATTCAATTATAATCAGTTATTAAAATAATAATAAATCATTTTTACGTTAACAGGAAAGTCAATAACATACAATTCATAGTAAGCATCCATTGATGCTTTGTTCTCTGGATTTGAACATAAATATAGAAATCTATTATTGGAATGTTTTTGTTACTGACCGCAAGTGAATTAGTAGTTTGTCCGTTATCGGAAAAACAAAATGACGGAGCAGATTTCGCTAGTGATATCTCTTAGTTTAATTGTAAATGTACATCACACCAGTACAGTGCAATAATAATTGCTCCTTATACACAACAGTTTTGTATTGAAATTATCTATCGCGGTTGAATAATAATATACAATTGAAAATTGAACTCGCTGAATGCACCAGCCAGGTATCTCTTCGACACGTTTACTTTTCGGTTTCTTTCGTCGTTCTTTTTTATTTTCAATAAATTATCCTGTTTGCAACGCGAGCGTCG